AAGTCCAAAAGTCTAAAAATCGCCGTCGTTGGGTGTTTTCTGGAGGAGATTGAGGCTTGTTGTACAAAAGCGTACTAACCGATTCCACTTGCGCTCGAGTCGGCTTTGGCTTAGGACCTACCCATAGCTGTGAGTGAGCCTTGACACCATGCGTACCCGCGACAAGGCACAGACTCACTACAATGCTGTTGAACATGCCATTCCGGGTAGCTTGCCTAGCTTCAATCTAACTTGGACGATCTGCGCGGTCCGGCATCGCTTCTTCAGCACCTTGCTTCGACCTTGGTCGCTAGTCAGTGTCAAATTTTAGCTTTCGCGTAGTTCGCACGACATCCCGCATTGTGGGGACTATATGCATGCAATTCATCCAAGTGAAGCACATCATGGATCCATCAAAGCATGGCAGTGGATAGGCAAGCCAGAAAAGCATAGACGCAGAGATGAGGAGCGACAAAAAGATTAATAATAGAAATTTAAAAAGGCGGAGGGAAAAAATCCGGAGGCTGGAAACACGAATCAATTTAGCGTGCCGAGTTGTTTCACGCGGCCTATGAAATGAGGTCCCCGTCATGGGTTTCTTCCCATCTGAGAGTACAGTCTCCTTCAACGGTGCGCGAGTCAGAGCTTTCGCGTCGACACTAAATCAAGCGTCACTGAAAATACGGAGCCACGCTGTGCCATAAACACCCTAGATCATCAGCACAATAGTGCTTACTCTCCAGGCGACAACGTCCGCTTCTGCCGCGGCTTTTTCCGCTTCTGTGATCAGTGGCAGCTCAAAAAAAGAAAAAGTCGCAATAGAACGAGGTGAAATGGAATCTCTACCCCCTACACAGGGTTGCCAAGGCAGTCATTGCTATTGGGCAACTCTACATTGAATTGTAGAAAATCCCGCAGCCCATCGGATTTGGCCATTTGACAGCAACGAAACTACAGGCTACCCTATACTAGCTAGTATCCAACAGCGGCAGAAATGTGCCGCCGCCAGGAGCTCAAGGGCCCGGCCACTAGATCGGCGATTAAAAGTCCGTTTTGGCAGTTATTGTGCCACGTGATGTGGGTTCAATGCAGAGCAGACTGTGTCGATCGCAACTACCGATGTAACCTCAGCGCTGAGCTGACCGCACAAGGTGGGGGGGCAGGCAAAATACGGAAGAACGGAAGGCCGAAATAGGATGTTGACGAACAAAATTGACAGCGCACACCGTAAAATGGAACCCACAGCCAGGGTTCGAAGGAGGTGTTGGCTCTAGCAGACATCTGGCCCCTTGCTCGGCCTTTTTCGACCTATCTTGACGTTGCTTTCATCCCGACAGTCTGGTACCGCGATGGAGAGGTTGAAATTGGACCCGGATTGAGGTTTTTTTGCAACAACCATGGAGTAACACCGACATGACCGTGCCGCTGCACAACGCCCGACCAACAGTCCTTGGCATGTTTTGACAGCCCGGTAACGGGACGACGAAAGAAGGCCGAGAATGAACCCGAGTCAGGGCTTTTGGCCTGGCACGAAAGCATTGCGAGCGAAATGGGCCGTTCTGTGCAAGATACCCGCAAGTCCAGTTCGGGACACGACGATCCACCCATTCGATTCCACCGTTCATTCAAGAGCCGGTCGATCTACTTGGTCTCGATGCTGTTCCGAAATATGACGGTTGTGCATCGAGCGACGATAGCATTTTGTCTCTGCTTCCCTTCCGGCTGAAGAGACCGCCTTACGGCTCAAAAGAATCATCGAGAGCATGGCGCCCGAGAAGACTCGTTCCAGGTCCCCCTACCCAAATGACCGAACATGGGTGAGCTCGGCAATGCGCAAGAGACGGATGATGGCGATCAAGAGAAACAAGATCGATGGATTCTGGGACGGCTCAGTGTACATCCCCGACGGGGAATCGCTGCCGGAAAACACGAACGACGTGGTAGGTTTGGAAGTATAGGAGCCTGGAGAAGCCGATTTGGCAAGCCGCTGACCGCGACGATGATTGCAGATTCAAGACGTTTGGTGGAGGCAGGTTGTGTCCAATGGCAAGCTTGCTCTGAGACCAGCGAGACAAAGGAAGCAGCCGGCCAAGGCGAAGCCGTGCAAGGACACGAAGCCAGCACCGAGGGTGACCGGACGTCGAGGTCGTGACAACGTTTGTACTGATGAGCCCGCGATTGGATTCCGAAATGATGCCTCACTCGACGCTTGTGCGGATAATGCTGTTCGCGGTGTTGACAGTATCGACGGCCATATCAGCGACAACGGCAACGGCAATGGCAACGGCATAGGTGATGACCCATAACCATGGTTAGGGAGGCGGTCGCCGTTGTCGTGAGGTTCGCGATCGACTGCTGTCTCAGGTTGGCCCGACAGTTCGAAACATACCACAACGGCGGTAGAGAACGGACTGCAGCCGGGTCATATTGCTGGAAATCAGTTGTTAGCGATCATCATTACAGCAGTGACTCAGATGAATGGTTACGAGGATGCTGGACCAGACGTGAACACCCATACTTTTCACCTGCTCTTTGTTGCACTTCTTTCTCCTCTCTTTTTCTTTCATTCATTGAAGAATCGAGATGAAGAAGTGTAGAGAAGGCGTAGCAAGATAGGTCTTGTTGTCTTGAGAGAAAAGACGACATGATGCATAGAAGAAAAAGAAAGGAATAGGCCGAATAGGATTATTTATTTATTTACTTATTTATCTGGGTAAAACTGATGCAAATGTGGTTGTTCCATGCTGCGACCTCTTCAACGAACAATGGCTTGTCGCCATCCAGACGCCCGCCGACTGGCTCATGTCGAGTCTATTGGATCCCATGACTTGCGGTGGATACCCCGTTCATAATCAGATTCATAACATGAAAATGGCCTTTCCGGATAAGCTTGCAACATTCATAGTCGCAGTGCGACTTCGTGGAATAGTTCTTTAAGTTACATTACATGTTGTCGCCAGGCCTGACCTTCACGGCCTGACGAAACAAGACAATTGGGAACCACGAGCTGTCGTCCGCATGCTGTCGACTCCAAAATCGGCTTTTTTGATTGAGCTGGACAAGATGGGATGACAAGCCAGATAGGGCCCGGTTACTGGCTGTTGTGTTTGATTGGTGACATCATACTGAATGGCATCATGTGTCAAAAGTCCAAAAAAGGGCAATATGATTAAAAGTGGCTAGATGAGTAGAAGCGGCCAAATTGGGCTCCTTCTGCTATGTGTCAACTAGGTAACCAACTGCACGTGAACACCAAGTTCCAAAAGTCCAAAAATCGCCGTCGTTGGGTGTTTTCTGGAGGCGATCGCGGCCTGTCGTACAAAAACGTACAAAACGATTCCATTTGCGCTCGAGTCAATTTTATCTTGGGATCTAACTCATAGCTGCGAGCAATCGAGCCCTGACACAATGAGCATCCAAGACCTGGCGGAGACTCACTGCAATACTATGCAACATGCCACACAACAGCTTGAGCATCCAAGGCTCGATACTACCTCACCGCAGGAGGAACGGACTGCTCGTCCTGCCGTGCGACGCGCAAGGCGGGGTGCCAGGGGACGGGGTCCCGGCAAACGCCTCAGCATGAGAGATGCTTTCGTTGACGGAAGCACCCTGCTCCGAGAAGCGGCCAGGCTTGCGAGGTTCGACGGCATTTCTCTAGACTTGTGCTTTTGGGACCAGGGCTGCTCGTCATGGGTTGGTGTGGAGCCTCGACCTTCTGGCGGATAAGCCGCAGTATTAGAGAGGTACGTCTGGTGGTGGCCGTTTACCAACACTACCCGATAACTGACTATGTCCTAAAGTTCGAGGATGGGAGAGCGAGATTCCAAAAATCGTTGCGCTCTCTACATAATAGATTGGCCAAATACGTCGAAGCATATGGTGTCCCTTGTCGTTTCAAATGTTTCGACCCGTTCAAGGAACAATGGCTTGTCACTATCGGGGCGCCTGCCGGCTGGCTCATGGATTCTCAGGATTGGAAACGCGCAGTGAGTATAGACCTGAAGTAAAACACCAAACCTCACAGCTGCTTACGAAGCCTGAATAGTGTGAAAGTCGCTTGCCCTATGAAGCAAGATGGGAAGCGCGATGCGATCGGGAGTGGCCGACCCAATCTCGACAAGTTCTCAAGATGTAACGAGGAAGGGAGGGGAGAGGGGGAGAGAGAGAGGAGAGAGAGAGAGAGAAGGAGGAAACACCACTAATCTTGAGGGTGATTCGACCAGCAGATCTATGTGATGGTTCGGACACCTTGAGTCTAGCTTTTAGACTGTATCTACAACTGCGAATAACACATCTCACCAACACATGTAATTGGCCGACATCGTGTACAAACACCAATAAGCTGGTGCGTTGTCAATCAAAACATATTTTCGCATCTTCTTTACAGTAGAAGAACGAATATTGACAAGCAAGCAATCGTGATCCGAATGAATACTACATGTGTACACGTACGGTAGAGACAGGGAGTGTGAATACGATGTGACGACAACCTTCCTGTCTGTTTCAGGATCGAGAGCGTGTTTGGATCAATGCCCTTACCACTGAGATGTACCGCTCGATCGGGCTGCCGCGCATCCCATCGTAATAAGACAACTTAACTCGGACGCATCTATGGACGGGGACCAACTTCTACGGGTGCTTGCCAGGGATACCTGTTCTAAGAATAACATAAATTTCGGTCAATTTTGTCTACACTCTTTTCTTCCGATGTTACCGGAGTCCTGTGGTCTTATGGCCTAAAGTATGCGAGAGTAATTCCTCTCGATATCGATGACCGAGATCCAATTTTGAACAGCTTCAATAACCACCGTAGATCTGGTTGGGCGTACGTGAATGGTGACGCGAGAGCTGTGCGTATAGTTGTATAAGATGAAGTCAAGGCATCTCAATGGCATAAATTCGAATATAGGAAGAATAAGCCTATACAAGAACCACACGTCCATCTCACCTGTCGACAAACAAACGAATCAAGCCATGCCATCGCTTGACCAAGAGATGACGTGCGCCACAGGTCATCACCAAGCGCCCAACCATCAACGAACATCAGTTATCAAATGCGACATTCTCATCATAGGTGCTGGCGCTGCAGGCTTAGCAGCGGCCGCGGCCGCGCATGATCCAGGGCTCAGAGTCATCCTCGCCGAGAAGGAAGATCACGTTGGCGGCACGACTTTCAGGTCCGGTGGCTGCATGTGGATGCCCAACAATTTCCTCATGCAGGAAACTGGCATCGAAGATAGCAAAGAACAAGCCGCCGCTACACCAATGCTGTGGCGAAACTTACCTGCTCAAGTCTTGAGGAACAAGCCTTCCATGGGCGCCTACGTGATGAGCGTCTCGACGCATTTTTGACGCAGGGACCCGAGATGATGAGATATTCAGAGACCAAGGTTCCGATGGATGGCCAAACCGTCCCAGTTTCCAGACTATCACCCGCACATCGAAGGTGCGGTCCACCATGGTCGCACCTGGACCCCGCGGTTTTTGATGCGGCAAGCCTAGGTCACTACCAGAAATACCTTCCAAAACCAGATGGCGCACCCGTGATCCCCCGATTCGAGGACTTTCGAGTCTTGACAAGGCTGCGTTCCTCGGGGCAGTGTCGTGCAGAAGTTTCGGCTCTTCCAAAGGGAATGTCGAGGCCTGTGTCGATGGGTCGATCGCTGATCGCTCAGCTCCTCAAGGTGTGCAAGGAACACGACAATGTGGAAATCTGGACTGGATGGGAGCTGAGTGAGCTGTTACTATCTGGACATGATGGTGGTGTAATAGGAGCAAGGGTTCAACGCAGAGGCAGCGAGGAACTTGTCGACATCCACGCATCGCTGGGTGTGATCTTAACCACAGGAGGTTTCTCTCAGAACCAGGAGATGAGGGATGCATACCTAGCGGGAACAGCCACGAGCGAAGCAACTTCAGGTATGCCGACCAAGGCGGAATGGAGCCTTGCATCTGACGGAGACGCCGGTATCGCGCTGCGAGCCGGCCAAAGGATCGGTGCTGGTAGCGCACAGCTCGGCCAAGTCTGGGGCATCCCCACCATGATCGATCCTAGGACAGGGAAAGTGACGGAGGCCATGTTTGCCATATCCAAGCCGTTCTCTATAGTAGTCGATGGCTGTGGCCGCCGCTTCTTCTCCGAGTCCCAGCCCTACGGTGAGGCCGTTAGGTCCATGTATGAGAGAGCGAATGAGGACGTAGAAGCGGCCACCTTCTGGCTTGTCTTTGACCGGAGATACAGAAGAAGATATCCCATTGGGAGCCTCAAGAGCACCTGGCAGATTGACCAGGCTGTCGAACAAGGCTTGCTCTTGCGCTCGGATACTATTGACGGCCTAGCTGAGCAGATGCATGTGCCGAGCCGCAACCTGCAGACGACGGTGGACGAGTGGAATGAAATGTGTGATCAGGGTCGAGATAAGTATTTCCATAGGGGCGAGGACAAGTACCAACAGTTCATCGGTGATCCAACTGTGGTGCCGAACCCATGCATAGGCCCTGTCAAGGAAAGCCCCTTTTATGGCATCAGAATCTTTCCCGGTGATGCTGGCACGAGAGGCGGTCCTCAGACTGACCAGTTCGCAAGAGTACTGAGGGCAGATGGGAGTGTGATCTCTGGTTTGTTTGCTGGAGGTAACGCATCAGTTGCGCTACTTGGAACTCAGGGCGCGGGAACGACACTCGCTCCTGCGATGACCGAGGGTTTTATCGCGGTGAAGTATATGCAGCATCTAGCTCGTGGCAGCGGCGTAATCCTCGAGGATCGGTAAAAAGCCGCAGTCCAAGAGTCTGCCTGGTGACACAGCCGACATCGCCTGTATGCTCTGCCGCGGCCGGCTCAGTTATAGTGATAAATACCACAAATATACGAAGAAGGAGTGGCAGAAATTGGCGTAGGGTGTATGGCAATACAGATCTGTATGCTACTCGATAAATGAATGAAGACTTGACTATAGGCCTTCTGTACTGTACGACTTGCTCCGCAATCTACGTCGTGATGGTTGCAATTGTCCTTGTTGTATCCCATGGACGTGAAACCGCCAAGGCACTCTTGATCAAACTCTGTCCACACAAAACGCTTGCAGTTTTTGCGTCACAATAAGGGAAGGGAATTGTCATCGCTTACACGGACGGTCTCACTGTTCTTGCTTACTGCATGGTTTAGTCGCAGCCAACAATTTTCCTTTTGAATGTGAACACTTAACAGCGCGCCACACTAGGCCCTAAAATTCTCTACTTGGAAAAAGAAATTTGCGATATTTTTATATTTAATGGAACATTAATGGGAGTAGTTCGTACTTTAGCATTGTTATAAATATGTACATATCTTGAACAAGACAGCCGAGTCATGCAATGAATTCCTGTTACGTCGCAACCCAATATGTCTTATAACAGTCGACTTACGCAACAATGAGTAGAGATGGTCCCAAATGCATGCCCTCGGCGAGATCACAAATAACTGGGTTGACCTCATCGGCAGTTTGAGCTTCTTGAGAGATAGTTTAGCATTGCATAATGTGACAGAGAGAATTGAAACCTAGTAGCACAGTAAATGGCAGGATCCAGAAATATGAGATAGGAAAGGCATAGAGGTGAATTTGAGGTTCTGTACCGAAGAAACAGAGAGAGAGAAAATCGAAAAGAGGAATTACGGTATTGAACGCAGAAAAGGATGTGTTGTGTAGCCCCGGTTCCGTCATATAAGTAAGCCCCAGGCTATTTGCATCGTAGTTGATATATACTCAGGCTCACAATATGGCCCATGTCAGGATAATACACTTCAACCCGTTCTGCAGCACTAACTACTTGTCCTACTACTACTTCCCATCGACTATAGCGCCATCCAAGCCATGCAGTTTGCAGAAACAAGCCGTCAAATATCCTCAAGGCATTGACTCACACCAATAATATGGGTATTTGCTTCGGGAAACCAGAGATCCTGTATCTATCCATAAACGATTATTTTGAAACATGCAAGTGTCCATGTTTAAAAGCAATTCTGGCCTTTTCATAAACTCGCAATAAACCGCCGTTCTATCGTCAATGACTGGTTTCAGTTAACCGTAGAACCAGTAGAGAGTAGTGTAAGAGGTGCTGTCGGTGCCTTTGGCCTTGCAACCTTGAGAAGCACCCCCTGCGGTCAAGACGCGGTAGACGAAGGAGACACCCTGGCTGCCACCGGCATCCCCCAGGTAGAGCCAATCAACAGCGCCGGTACCTCCAGGGCCAGCGGGAGCAGAAGGGGGAGCCTTGATACCGTCTATCTTCTTAGCAATGAGGAGCTGGTTGGCCTTGTCGAGGTCGAAAGTGGGGACACCAGCAGCGTTAAAGAAGTGGCGACCAAGGTAGGGGATGCTGTTGCGGAGACCTTCAACCTTGAGAGGTTGTTTCTTGGGGAAAGGATTGGTGAGCGAGGCACCACTGTCATCATTGCGGTTTAGAGGGACTTTTCCGGTAGTAAGAACATCAGAAGGGAGAGAAGCCCATTTCTTAGCTTTTAAAGACGAACGAGCTTGACCTGGATAGAGGTTGGTAACGTCGTAGAGAACAGCCAAAGCACCGATAGCTGCAGGGGTAGCACCAGCCTCAGCGCAGCTATAATTCTGAATACCAAACCCAAGGGCAATGTGCTTCAGAGTTACATCTCGAGGAGGAGCGGGGAGTTCGGAAGCTGTTGGTCGTGTTGGTGAGATACAAGACGTTACATAAGGTTAAGGGTGGATCAAGACTTACGACGGCCATTAACAGGAAGCACAGGTACAGGCTTTCCATATTCACAGCTAGAACTTCGGCCATGATCTTCAACAGGTGAGGCTAGAGCCAAAGCAGCTGAAGTAAAGATGAGAAGAGAGCTAGCGAGCATAGTGAAGGCGACGAGGTGCGATGTGATATTTGAATGCAACTTTGGGAGACGTCATATATATGACAACGTATAAAGGGGAGCGAAAAAAGAAAAGAAGAAAATTCAATGTTTATCAATTGTGTAGATCACCAATAAGCTAAAGAAGCAGACCATACTATGGGAAAAGTGCAGAAGTGGACTAGAAGAGAGTAGGCTTATATACAGGCGTCGGCAATAACAGTTACCGCGTGACAATCTGTGCTACAGTACATACGAGCTGCCTTCAGGTGGACATCAAGAGTTTCCTGTTACGTTCAATTTCTTGGGCTCGTAGCGTAGCAGACTAGCTGAAGGACTAAGAAGAGAGAAGGAAGGTGGAGTCCAAAAAGAGGCAGAAACCCGGCGAGCATTACGTCCTACATCCTACCTCATCACTACTTGGATGGTTACCTCAACTGTTACCCTTAGTGCCAATTTGTAAAGTATATTCCAGACATGTCGTATCCCACCACCCTCCATTTCCTCGTTGATTCATATCATTACCTACTAACTGTCAATTTCACGATCATGGGGCCATTTTAGAAAGACTTACACCAACGCCAAATCGTATGAAAGAATATATCTACGCAAGAAAGGCCATTCTGTCCGAAAGGATTTCTCACATTTTGGCCGTAGATTGGACAGTTTCCGTTCGGGCAGATTTCGAACGTATAGTCAATCTTGGACGAGTCTCTCCTGTAGAATTCGATGCATTCATCACCGTGTTTCATGCTTCTATCAATATCTGGTCTGCCGCAGAAATCCTTTACCATCTGGAATACCAGATCGCCATCCGTCTGTCCGCGGCCGAGCAAGGCTGAATCGTGAGAACACATTGCGCGACGCGTCTCTTCTTCATTGTATGAATTTGCAGTGGTCGTGGTCTCCGAAGTTGTCTTTGATGGCGAAGTTACCAATGTGGTTTTTGTTTCTGTCGACAAAGTTGTGGTTTGTTTACCTGTTTGGTCGGTCGAATCAGTATACGACGTAGTGACAACCTCGGCCGTCGTCTTCGTCAACGCCGTATGCAAAGTCGAGGTGGACTGGTCAGACACTGTATCCGGATCCGCGGACTTTGTTTGTGTTGAGGTGTTTTCAGTTACAGTAGTGCCCCCCGAAATTGTGGCCGATCCAGTTGTTTCCTTGGTTTGTGATATTGAAGATGTAGCTGTATCTGTAGTCAAGATTGATGCCGGGCCAGTATGCGCTCCTCCTGAAGACTTCTGAGCCGAAAGATCTTTGGACGAATCTGTGCATTCTTCCTTCAACGAGGTACCGCTTGATCTCTCCGTCTTGATAACGTGAGAGTCATCTGTCTGTGTAAGCGTCGTTGTCGTTGACAATGTTGATGATGGTGCCGTCTCCGATTTGGTCGCACCGCTGATAGACGACGGACCAGATGACGCTTCGGTGACTGACTCTAGCTTTTGCTCTTTCTTGTTCACTGTATTAGTGGCTTCAGCTACGGCGGAAGTAGACGGGACATGTGATTGTGCCGGTGTCCTTGTCACCTCGTCGTCCATAGTGGCATAGGATGGGACCGTCTCCTGCTGAGCATCGTCACTAATCGTGGATGGCATCTCATGCACATCTTCCGACTGACCGGCCGCGGACGTGGTCGAAACATCTGAACGCCAAGTCTCGCTAGTATTAGCGAGGTTGTCTTCTTCATCTTTTGATGCTGTGGCTGTAGCCTTGGACACTGCACTACTCGTTACGTCACTTATCGACTCTGTTAGCGTATGGGCTTTAGGTCTGGTGCCAGTCCCTTTGCCTTCTGTAAAAGGCGGGTAGGGCGTGTCGGCAGATTGAGTTTCACCCGCGACTGATGGAGACGATGGATGAGAGCTATCGGCAAACACGGTGCTGAATCTAGTGCTAGTTTCTACCGTCTCATACATGGTGCGAGTTGATCGATGACGATACCCATCAGCATCGGCAACGGACGTGGATTCGGGAGTTTCTTGTGTCTCAGCTGTTAGATCTACTATGGAGGTGTCCGACGTATCCTTGATTCGAAGGGAAGGCGGACATCCATCGGTCCACTTTCCGGATCGGGATGGTCTGATTGTGACATTGTAGCTTATTTCGGGATAAATTAAATTTATATTTGTGGTTGGATTGAGCGACTCGAATTCTTGTTCCGTGATCCCCAGATCCCACATGACTACCGCGAAGTTCTGGCCTTTCTCAGGATGCCATAAGCCTATACCGCTGGGATAATCGCACCTCGCGTGAGCCAGGGCGACCAAGGGAAGAACAATGATTGACTTCATCGTGGTATTGCCCTACATTAGCACGATGCAAATGATACCAAGCTGGTGGAAGGGCAGGGACTTGGATTATATTATTGCTTCTCGCTGTGAAGTCTGTTAATTGACGTTCGCTAGATCCTGAGGTAGCCTCGTTTTCGCTGGTGGCAAGATACTTGTCGCAGGCCAGGCATGGTCACAACGAGCCTCAGGAACAACAGCCCTCAGTAATCAAGCTGGGTGATTTAAAGTAAAACCTGTGGGATGGAATACCCCACACAGAAGATAGAACCAATCAACTCACTACTGCTGCTCATTATGAATGACCCGACCTTCAATCCATTTTAAGCACATCCAGTGCGACAATACTCCACCGTCCAAAATGGAAGGTCGGCAGGAAGCGGGGAAGCGGGGAAGCGAGATTAAAGGCCCGATCGACACTAAAGCTCGTTGAGCGCTACCAGATTCCGATATCTTGGAAAGTCGATGCAATTATCATGTGAATGGCACTAAAATATGGCAGTCGATACGAGACACTATAGATTGATGATACGCAGAGCGTTGGTATATCCATCATTATTGCGCATTGGCATTCACGAAGGCCAAATCTCACTTTATTCGGTGCTGGTCATCAGCAACCCCATTGGGCATGCCGAAATAGGCTGCATGGAGAGTAGGAAGCAGCAAAAGTGGCCTTCATATTCTTCAACTCCAGCAATGGCATCAGAATTCTAGATAGCTTTTACTATGCCATAATAAAAGAAAGACGGAAAAAGAATAAGAAAGGGAAGGAAAAAAAAAGGAAAAAAAGAGAAAAAGAACAAGGGTCCGTTCAGTTTAGAAACGGGACCAAATGCGATCAGTTAGAATTAGAATATGTTGTATTCGATTTGATGATGCTGAAGGCTGGCTCTGAATACCCTACTTCATCGGTACAAAATGGCTTCGACTAATCATAAGAATATACGGTGCTCTCGAATCTCTCCACAGATGCGGCCAATCGTGTCTGCAGACGAGCTTCCCAATACATCCTCTCCATCAGGGTATGAGAGTGTGGTGCTATCTCGCTCCTCCTGCAACACAAATTCATCTCTCACTATGAAGAGTCTGTCGTCTTCTGGTTGATGGTTTCCTGCAGCCTTAAGTGGGTTCTCCTGTGTATCGAATCGCAAGGCTTTGCGAACGCTGTGAATAAGGTAACTGATGGCTAATATTTCGATGACCTTTAAACGTTGAGTTTGGGGGGCCATGCAAGCCTGGGCCTCGATAGCGCTGCGAGATATCTCTATTCTCGTGAGATGCGTGTCGAACCTCGGATCGAGGGTCCAAATCACTCTCGCCGAATGGTGTTCGAGATGCTTGCGGACATAAACATCAATATGCCCGAACGCAAGAACTGTATGTATCATCCTATGATACGTATCAGAACGCCTCATCGCGTCTCGGTGAAAAAGAGCCAAGTTCGCTGTCATTCCCTTGCATGAAGAGTCTTCTTCATGAAAGTTGCAAGCATGGTTCTCGGATTGTTGCGTCATTATCGCGTTGGTATATGAATCGTCAGTTGACACGACGTTGTGAAGGGCGACTAATATCGGAATAATTGATGGTATCTGGCTAAGGATTTCAAGCCAGTTTGGCGATGAATTAAGTGGTTGCTTGGCTCTGGATCAAAGCAGGGCTGAAATTGGAACCTGAGGGTTGTTTCTAAAACATGTCCTTTATATACTTCAAACTCAGTAAGCAATATACCAGATCAGCGACTCAGAGCCAACCCACAGTTTCAGTTATACGACATCCACGGCTATAATAGATTATGTAAACGATCTACGCTATATTCTGATACATCGAGCTCGGATGAGACGTCCTAAGATTATGCTAGCCACCCCGGTTTGCAATAGTCTAGGGTACGTGATAATACCCGTTCACGCCACTACTCGTTCTTAGCCTTCGTCAAGGTATGATTCGGGAATCGAGGCTGAATTAGGCAGGAGGAGCAGAAGGCGATAATTCCTTGGTCATTTTATCAGCTGTTCGCGTGATCAACGATGCCTGTTCGCAACAAAGTTTGTTCTACAAATAGAAGACTGAAGGGGTCACCTTGGAAGGTGTACCGGGCCGTGATGGCGATTATAACTACGAGATTGGTATCCTATGTGTGACCGTGACTCTTGGTGCCGACTAAGATCCATGCGAAACCTGATCAAACAACCACATCAGGAACATTAACCTAGTTGGCACAAGGTCTTCTTAAGGTTTCGGGTAGTTAATAGCTTCTGTCTTGTTATTACGACTATGACCCTTCTACGAGCCTTTGTACCGTTCTGCCATGATCCACTGATCCGTGCTTATGTAACATACATCCCCTATTGCGACTTCTTCGCTCGAGAACGACCAAATACGGCGAGTACGCCGCATGCTAAGCAAAGAGCGCCGCTGAAGGCGACAACATAGAACAAGAGAGCAATAGCTTTACATGTTGCGTTGGCGCCATATGTTATCATAGTACGAGCCTCATCTCCTCCCCAGGTATCCCGCGAGACGCCTGCCAGTGCCTCACGCAGCTCTCCTTCATCATAATCCAGTGACCCAAGAGCAGATTTTAGCAAAGACATGCCGCGGTTTTCATAGACAGCGCCTGCAATGATCAATGCCATAGAGATACCACCCATCAGGCTCATGTTCAGAAGCGCAGCGCATTCAATTCGATCTCGGAGATCTTTGTGGATCCGGTTCGAGATGGCGTTGCTGTGTTGAAAGTGTAGGCCAAGTCCCACGCCCACTAGAGCTGTAAGGCCCATGACCTTACTTTCGGAAACATTTGGTGCAAGAGTAGTGGCAAGGGCTATTGCCGATCCGAGTGTGACGGCACCGCCAGAGAGGTAGATTAGGCCGTAGTGATTTACTCTTGGGAGACAAGCAGCGACGATGACCACGGTGACAATGAAAGGGACAATGAAAGGTAACAGACGCACAGTTTGTTGTAGCGCGCCCAGCCCCTTGGAGAAAGCATAGAACAGCGGCATATAATAGAGCATAATGGCGTACGTAGCACCGGCGCAACCTGATGCTACCCATAGAGGTATCATATGACGCCGAGCCATGATCGTGATGGGGACCACCTGATGGTCAGGTCGCTTCTGGTAACTGCAAACCTGTTGAACAACCCAAGCAGCAAAAACAATAGCGAACGTAGTCCACATGGCGATACAGGGCGCCGATCTCCATTCCCATACCGGGCCAGAGAAGGTGGCCGCGATGGCGAAGAGCACGGTTGTAGCTACTTGAAGGACAATGCCCAATATGTCAATATCAGCAAGGCGATCTCGCAGAGGAAGAGTATTGCTTTCGGGTCTGCCTGGCACAAAAATCAGGGCGCAGATGATGGCAAGGCCCAGGAAAGGTAGATTGATGAAGAAAGCCCAACGCCAAGTCGTGGCAGAGCTCTGCACAAAGGCGCTGCCTACTGGGCCTCCTACTACAAGGCCAATTGCCCACAACCCACTCATGACGCCATAAAGAAGAGGACTTTGACTGTCGGTCGCATACATGGCAAAGTATGATATGGCACTGCAATGAACATTCAGTATGCGCCACATGGGACGGCAACGACGGAACGAAATAGAGAAGACTAAGCTCTTACTCACCAGTTCTGGCAGATTGAGCCTCCAATCCCCATGATCGCTCGGCCAGCGATGACCGTGGAGATGTTGCCCGCCACGCCGGCTAGGGTCGCTCCAACGAAAAATATAGCGATGCTGATAATATACACGTAACGTATATTGAAAACATCGATGATTTTGCGAGCAAAGGCCAATGTAGCAAAGTTGGCAAGGGAGTAAGAGAGACCAATCCAAGGAAGAAACTCGATATGACCGAATGCCTCATAAAGCTGTGGTTGGATGTTGGCAACGTTACTTACGTCGAACCCTGGCATGACGGTGATTAGTATCGCCCATCAGCTAGCTCCATTGACTAAACGTTTTCTGTAACATACCGTTGATGATGCAAGTTATGTAAATGGTAAGAATAGTTCCTAGTCCTATTCCTGCTTGAGGCTGGGGTGGTTGTGAATAGGAGGTACATGGCATTCTCGTCATTTTAATGTGAGCCTCTCAAGATGATATGCTGTCTTTTGAGCACCCTTCGACCGCACTCTTGACTTCAAAATGGGAAGAGAAAAGGGTTTTGGACAAGTAACAACGCTATTTTCTTATATGATGGGGAAGCGGCCCAGGTGGAAGTGATAGTGATGCTGTTTGATGCGTCCTATGTAGGCTTGCCACTTTCCATTGATGTGATGAACGGTCTCAATGCTAAGTGGCTCTATTGGGCTGTTTGGTAGTTAATCAGAACTTGTGTTCGGTTAAAGCCCTGTCGTGGGATCTGATAGGTTTAGATGATACGTTATCTCGGTGTTTCTAGAGGTCGTGAACGTCCGCCTCGACGTTAGTTTCGGAGGATGTTTTCCTTACCTAGCGTTCTTGGCTAAAAGCTAGGCGTGTCGTGAGTTCATTGCACGCCCAAGCAAGAAACTCACTTATCCATAGATGAAAACGCCGGGGATTGGACTGGCTAGTTGTGGCCATTCCGTCGAAGACGCGCTGCCCCGTAGACTGTACTCCGCGGAAACTCCAGCAGTAGGGGATATACCAACAGACGAACCAACTCAGACAGCCAGAAAATGAAGAAGGTGAAAAGAAGAAAACAGAAAGAGGAGGGGAGGCGAAAAAAAGAAAAAAGCAAGAGAAACACGCCATCTCCTTATTTGGCTCCTTGGCTGATCATATATGTACAAAGCTCCGCTGAATGCATGCATTCCCCCTTCTAACATGACTTTCCATTTGAACATTCAGCTACAGCCCTTTCCATTCTGACCCACATGCATAAAGGTAAGTCTTGAGAGAAACCTGGTTCTCTCCCTTGCTGAATGATTCAAGGTGCATCAATGCCTACGATAGATGATGAGTTAGGGGTAGTCAGCCCTCGCTCGGCATTCATTGTTCGACTAGTCGTGCGTTTTTATAATGGCTTTCTACTCTTTGTAGCTTGGTTGGCGATTTTGTCTCTAGGGATGACAACCTTTGGCCTATCCCAACCGGACAGCTTGAGTGGCCTCGAGTTCACGGCAGCAGCTCTACTGACCAGTACCGCAATCACCGCGATCGTCGCAGTCGCCATCACTACCATGCTTCAATTCACTCTCCGATCGATAAAGGGTCAATACGAGAGGCTGGATCTTATAATGTCTTGGGTGCCTTTGTTCTTGCTTGATGTCGTCATACTGGAAGCCATGGCGGGCCTGTTGCTTTGGTATACCAACAACTTCCCAAGCGAACTCGTCGCGTTCTTCGCTTCAGAAACACTGGTCTTGCTCATCACTATGATCATAGCATCTATTTGGGTTAGGAGAAAGTTTAAAACGCTGATCAGCATGGCCTATCTGAACACTGATGATGTCGAAAGGCTAGACTGGAACGATGGACCTGATACTCCGGAGTCCATATGCTAGTCATACCAGAAAGAAGCAGACGAGACTCGATTGTTTCTAACGTGAAGCGTGGATGTTCACATGCGAAGAGCGTGAACGAAGTGGTAAATGGTCAACTTTTAGATGTCTGAATAGTGACTGGCTTCGGAGACATGTAGTATAGAGGTGCAATCGGTTTCAATACAGTCTCTTGTTCTTTCATTTAAAAGACAACGACGTGAAGGGTTGTGCAACGAACGCTACATTACAGTAGTTCCTGGATAACGTAGGAGCCTACAGCACAGAATATGGGTACAATACAGTACTACAGCACAAAGGTTATCAAAGTTCAAACTTTGAGACCGGCTACAGTATAATAGCTGAGACCTGTGGCTGCAAGCTCATCTTCACCATCTTAACTTAGTCAATTGACAATAGGCTTTCCCTCATCCGCCATAAGCTTCGATCCCAAAATAAGGCCAAGCTTGTAGGCTAAAAGTCGCGGATGTGCACCAGCCGCTCCTGGTCAAGAATGACCGGTGGAAGGAGAATTATAGACCCAAAGGCTGAAATCGGACCCAGGGCTTACTCTATCGCATCGCGGGGTAGAATACAGACGACGTGTTCGCAGGCAAAGGCTAGAAATTGCAGCAAGTGTACCGGGAGCGAACAGATCTTTCGGACAGCCGAAGTGGGATTATCTCAGAGGATGATTCAGGTTCATCCACAGAACGCCCTCTATTAGCCAGTCAGCCCTCTTTATAATTCCTTGCTTGGATTGGCTTGAAAGGTGACAAGTTGATTGAATTCCTGCTACCTAGGTCTACGTCTGCTCAAACCTATCACTGCCGTTCCTGTTGTTACAGTACTGTTGTTACTGTTGTCTCTGCTGCTGTTACCCCATGCAAATGACGCTCAGTTCGACCATGAATCCTTCCCGGGCTACTCAGAGACCCTCCGTACTTTCAGGAAGCGCTCCTTGGGTCGGAAAAGGTATATCTCTCATCGAAAGGCACTGGAGACTGTTTGTAACAGTCTACTCGGTGATTGTCTTGGGTATCATTGTCGCATGTGGGATAACCGGTACGTTGCTTTGGTCTGACTTCAATAAGCGCGACCATCTTGTGACTAATTATGGGATGGACAGTTGCCATCGAGAGACCTTTTGATTTGGCAAAGAGGTCTTGGGGAGGATTTGACGAGCGTCCAACGACCGCCAAGTGTTATCGACAGGAACGAACGGCAATGCTTCTTGCTTTTTTTCTGGGATCGTTCGGTATCGATCAGTTCTACGCCCACCACTGGCCTCTAGCCGTGTTTAAGCTGTTAACTCTGGGTGCTGGTGGGGTTTGGTGGTTTGTCGATGTTGTTCTCTGGATGGTAGGTGGCGTGTATGGCACGCCTGGATGTCCGGGCGGGAGCGAGCATTCCTGGCAGTACTAGCGAGTGATCAGGTCAGGAGAACGCTGTAGCGATGGTGTGCGCAAAAAACCACCATGGTGAGCGTTTCCTGGCCGGAGCTAAATACCTTGACATTATTTGTGACCTCAAGCGTGGTGGTGCGACGTTCGCGGTACTGCCTTCTCAACTTTCCATTGTCATCATCGCTTAAGACGTAGCTTCTAGTATAAAGATAGAGCTAACGTACAGGACTAGCGGTATCGAGAGCATAACAGAGCGATGATCGGTTTTTTTTTTGTTTTTGTTTTTTTGTAATGAAAAGAATCAATCCTGCCTCCAACTTCTCTTCTCTCAATTGATACAGTCTCATCCTTTCCTGCCTTCCTCGCCAAAGAAAAAAAAAAGCTCTTACTTCAATCAGAAGTGGTCTGGAATAGCTAAAGCTTAGTCCGCGGACCCTTCGAAATTTTTCTCTTGGAACCCATCCTATTCTAAATATGGGAATATCGTCGAGATAGCGTCACGTCACCGGCTGACAGGCCCTCATCAACCTGCTTGCCTCCTCCATTCGCTGCGAGATTTCTCGAGACACAACTTTCAAGAATAGCAGAGAGTTAATTTGCTTGGCAATCTTGCCTCTGCTCTACATTTTACATTTTACATTTTACATATTTCAACCTTTCACTAACAGCGAATGGCAAGATGACGATCTGATGTCAGTTTTATCCCTCGTAATTAATTACTTCCGTAGCGGCTTAGAGTCTATAGTATAGAGTTGATTGTACAGATAAACCCCATCGTGTAGAATACAGGCGGCGCATCAACAAGAGAACATAACTGCACATGGGTCGCTTCTGCAACTGAACGCCCCCTTAGCTGTTGCATCTTACCTACCCTTGCCGTTTCGCCGCACCATACAAGCTTTGATGTGCCGTCGACACCTCTGTGTGATTTGCAAAAGTTTTGGGGAGTCCGGGAATAAGCGATCGAATAGAGGGTAGTCGAGGTTGAAGAGCTGAAGGTACGCGTCGTTCTAGTGGACGTTGAGGCCATTCTACATGGCGATCCGTTTCGACATTTCTTGCCTGGGCCCCCAGGCTTCTTGGTACACCGCTGCGGTGCGAGACCATGGCTCGAGTAACGCGATGCTTGATAGAATGGTGTGATAAGCCTCCCTGCGGCTGGTTTCCCTGATGATCCTGAAACCGCCATGTGGACATCATTTGTAATTGACCGTTGTATGCTCTTGATCCCCCGTGGCCGAGTGCCGCAGGCGCACCTCCTGGCTTCAGCCGCCGATGTTTGGTGCTTCTGGTCCAGGCTGGAGCCGACACTGGTACCTCTGGTTCGCGAATAGGAGCGGGCATGAACGGTCTTGGCTCTTGGTGTTCTTGATTGTGCTGTCCCTGGCCTGTCATGACCCTTTGACACATTTCTGGATTTAGATGCAGATGCTTCTCTAAAGGGACATCCACGGATTGCAAAACAGCGGGATTGATATATATGCTCGCGGCAGGAATCAACCCGTACTGCTGCACCATAGTGTTGCTACAAGATGAGAGCCCCTGATTTCCCACAGGGTGAACCATGTTTTGAATGCTCAGAGGGTGAGGCTGATGTGTTCCCGGATGTACGGAAGAATGGGGTGCTGTCATTGTATAAAGTCTTTCAGCTTTATTTTGCAAGTGATAAAAAGCGTTGGCAGTGTGTGCAGCATACAGCACGCAAGCATAGGAGTATGACCGCCGATACGGTTTCTTTGTGGTGCTGTTGAATGGCGAAGTTATCTTGCAGTATAGCCTACTATATCTACATAAATATCTGTATGCATTTAACTCCAGCATGCTACCTGTGGGACACAGGACTGCAGAGGTGTATTTTGGACGATGCACGTAGCGAAGCCTTCGACGTGGGGCGGGCTCCATCCATGTGAAAGATACAGGTTGGCCCATTTTGGACGATGCGTTCTGCAAACAGCAAGTTTTGGATTCCGGAAAACAATAGGTTCCTACCGCAAAGCTGCCTGCCCTTCGAGCCATTTCCTCAAGCGAGAAATCGTAGTAGTTTGGTTCGTTCTCACTTCCAACTTGTACCGGCATTTTTAGAACTGCATGCTATCGTGCCTGGTCGTTATGCATGACCCGCGCCGAAGCGAGCGATGACCCAACTACCAAGACCGATCTCAAGCACGATTATACTCACAGAACCTGGTCACATGCACACTTGTGGATCTGGAAAGGCTTCGCCCTGACACTAGATATCAAAGTGCTGCATACTATTCATCGAGTGTTCCTAAGTAGTCTTCTTGTCTTTCTTCTCCACGCCGCAATTCCATCTGGAGACTATGCTAGGCCAGTGAGGTGGCAGCCTCGACGATCCCAGCACGACCAAAGGTGCCGCCTCTTGTTGGCACCTCGTTGCACTAGCCTTGCTACCAGGCCGCTCAACCAGGATTCTCATGGTCTCATTGCCGAACATCGCTCCTTCGAGACAATTATATATTCTATCCTCGGACAAGTCCTTTGCCATGGCGAGCGTCCAGACAAAGACCAGCGCACGGCACATGCCTACCCGGGCGATGCGTGAGGCAACAATCAGCAGGCAGTCTGATCTGAGTTTCGAACACATCCAATGGTTAAGTTCATGGATGTTTGGACGGGACGATAGTCCTGTCAACATTATTTTCTGCGTCCTCTCGACGTTAGCTTTGGGCAGGTCCAACCTGATCCAGTCGATCAGATCATCCCAGCGTCGCAGTGACCCTTTGACGTGGCTAGAGTATATCCTGGCGAACCTGGGCTGGGTCAACGTGCAATCTATAACCTCGAGCTTGATGCTCCTCAGCTTGTTGACGGCTGAGTATTCCAGCTTTGGGTGAAGTTGCTTCACTCCTTGTAGAATCTCTATAATCACCTAATTAGGCATCATCGAACAGAAGTGACAGGTGCAAAGTGAAGACGGACCAAGTGCAATTCCAAAGTCCCCCTCGTACTCGAAACAAATCCATCCTGAGCGGGCGTCGTTGTGAAATTGCCAATCTATAACGCCACAGTCTTGTAACCAGTAACATATGAGCTTTCGTGCACAGCCAAAGGGAATCTGATGGTTTGTAAGTGATTTGAGGCACTGTGACGAAGGATAGGTATAGAAATCCGTCATAGAATTCGTTTACATTATATATGGGAATGTAGTAGCGCTCACTACTACGACCAGCCGGGACATCAATAAGATGCGTCGGCAGATCCAGAGAAATCCGTGGCATGCTCTCGTGTTATCTTCTCGGATTTCAGAGTCCTCGGGTAGTTCTTTGGAGAATGAGAAGTGGAAAGAGATGATGCTACTGCCAAAGACATAAGGAAGGGAGGGTTTATTTCTTATGAAAGCGAACAGCATGTTTTGCGACAAATCAAAATCAATTCGGCCATAGAAAAAGAAAGAAAAAAAGAAGAAGAAGAAAAGGCCAATTCTAGATTTGTAAATTGAGCCGTTCTGGCTACCAGCCTCTCTTTCCAGCATGGAAAGTTGAAGCACGTATGCTCCCTCAGCGATAATCGATCGAGCCAGTCCCTAAAAAGACGAACTTCACCATGCTAACATATACTGTAGATATAGCCATCTAGTTTTGTGCGAAAAGAAGACTCGTCATAACTAGACCAAGTACATACAGTTCAATTCCGCCTAGGCCACGTCGTCACGGACACCGCGTCGACATGCGCCGCTTCTCCATCCTCCTCATCATCACTTGAGGGGATCCACAGGCAGCGGAGATCATCATCCTCCCCATCTTCTCGACATGGATGATTATGGGTGAACTCGATGGATATGGATATGTCATTATCCTCTTTACGATCCTTTGTAGTTCTCGGCTCTGCCTTGCCCTCGGCATGCGATAGCGAGTCGAGTGTATGACTTGTCACAGAGTCATCGATCCTGTGAATGTATTCACGACTGGGTACTTGAACGTAAAGATTTGGCGATTTATCTGGTGCCTTCACTAGCTTCTTGATCCTCTCCCATGCTTTGACTTCTTTCGTAGGGCCATACGTCTCATCCACAATGCGGTGTCGCAGAGTTCTTTTCTTGTCAATTCTAGTGTATTCACTACGAGTCATCGATTCCTAGAGTGATTGATACGAATATCGCCAAACATGGCAATAGTGCATATTTAAGCATTCCAAGGGGATCCAAGAGGCCTTTTTCCAATTTCTGAGCCTAGCTGGTCGTACAGTAAGTACTTCCCTTTTTGATACGCGACACTTTGAAGATTCTGTCATTCAATCGAGATACGTCTAATCCTATTTTAGCCCCTGGATAACTGCCGTTGGTCGCAAGTCTCTCTTCTCTGCTTCTGCGGCAGGTATAGCAGGACCTCATTCAGCATCTTGTGTTCTCCGCTGATCTGATCAATGCATCCAGTGTAGAGTCTTTGATACAGGAATGCTTTGGCCGGCTGGGATCACAATACAAGTCGGCGATGGGCTTAGACACAGAGCTGCAGAACATACATCCCGCATATCAAGAGTGGCTGTAATCTGTCACGTACGAATACTAACAATCTAGATTCACTATGGCGGTTTGAAATGCAAATTTTTTGGTGAGGGGCAGGAACTTCAGGAGGCCTATTTTAAGAATAAGTTGGTAATATCCATATATTGCAGAGCTTAGTGGTTGTTTGTAATGGTGCTCCTCTCGGCGCAAGTCATCTCCACATCCTCTGCGTCCTCCTTCATATCGAAATCATCATCTGACGGCGGCCATAGCACGATCGTCGGAATACACATTTCGTTATCCCTTGATGCCTCTTCATTGTCTATATCCATCGGCTCGAACTGAGCGCCAGTGTCCATCGCTTGTCCGGCCACTTGTGTATCATGTCTTCGATTAGCTTCAAATTTCTCGGTCTTCTCTTGCTGACGAAGCGTCTGAGGATTTTCTCTCCGCGGAAATAGTGACTGTAGGGCAGGTGGTGACCTTACGTTCTGTTTTCGCATCAAGCCTATTATATGCATGCCAGGTTGAGAGCGGACAGGGTGCGGAGGTGACAAGTTTCACATCGGCACGGCGAGCAGGACTTAAATAGCAAATGAGTGACTTTGTTTTGGCCACATGAAACGAGACGGGGCTGACGACCTTTCTTACTTTCTGGAGCTACGAGCTTGATACCGTTCATCCTGTACATGCAGTCATGTTCGTCTGGTTCTGGCTTCTTCCTCCCATTCATGCCATCCATGGTCTATATTCTGTCAGCTCTCAGTATGAATGCTTGGCATAAAGCCATTAAGAATTAGATTTTGCTAATTGTCTCACATGTATTGGGACATCTACGACCACCGTCTGTGCACGTGCACTTCTCACCATACCAGATGCAGAATCAGGCTGTTCCTTAAACGGTAAGAAGCATCCCAGGTAGCGGAAGCGATTATGGAACAACGTCAGGCGCATTAGTTTTACAGTACCTAATAAATAAATCTATTTGATCTATCGTTCCTTTCTTTCTTCTTCTACGCATCTTGTCACCTTTTTCTCTCAAGACATCCATCGAGACATCCATCAAGACATCCATCAAAACTTATCGTGCTGTTCCTTTTCTGCCCTCTTCATTTTCGTTCTTCAATGAATAAAAGAGAAGAGAAAGAAAGTACAACTACGAGCGCATCAGAGGAGACCGATCAAGAAGACCGGTGTACGCTTGAAGTTCATACTCAACAGGCCGGCATCGCGGGCGGCATACCGATCATGCCCTGACTTCCCATTGGCCAACTTGTATTATTGTTCATATCTGGTCCAGCATCCTCGTAACAATTCATCTGAGACAATGCTCTAGTGATGATCGATAACAGCGGGTTTCCAGCAAAGTGACCCGACTGCGGTCCGTCCTCTGCCGTCGTCGTGGTATGTTTCGAACTGTCTGGCCAACCTGTCGCAGCGGTCGTCCGCGGGCTGGGTTGAGTCTCGTCTGATGGAGTCCGCGCTCGCATCTCAACGTCACTTCTCGACTGGGCAGAGGGCATGTGGCTGTCGCTGGCTGTCGCAGTCGTGGACTGTGTAACTTTTGCGGCATCATTGCCAGCATCAGCAATAGCGTCGGTATCGCGGTTCGCCAGTCCACCGTCACCCAGACCTCCCTCGGCTTCGATGGGAGCCTGAGGGGCGACATGTGGGTCGGCTGAGGGAAGATGGATCATATCGATGGGCAGGTGACCGTTGTCAAGTTGATCCATCATCTCCATGCCCAAGTCCACGTTCATGTCCATACCCATGTTGTCTAGATCAAACTCCAGCATGTCACCCCAGTGATGTGCGCCAGGGAAATCTGTCACTTGGCCAAAGTCCATCAGAGCCGACTGCATCCAGTCATCTTCTGCCATCGTCGTCGTCAGATCGACAGATCCTGGCTCATCGCTGTGACTAGGCTGCATTGCATCATCCGACTGGCCATTCATAGCCATGGAAGCAAAGGGTGCCACCGGCTCACACCACGGCTCGCCTTCTGCATCCTCATCTTCAATAGAAGTGTACGGCATCACGGCGTCCTGCTGGTTATCTGGTGCATGCTCGCCAAGATGGCTCGAGGCTGCATTGTTTGGTTCCGCCGGCTCGCTCCGGTCGCGAACCTGAGAACGACAGCGATCGCCTCTATAAACGTGGTGATGGTCATCACCTTCGCCGTTGGCGTTATCGGTGTCGTTGTCGCTGATATGGTTGTCGGTACTGCCAAGGTCACGAACAGCATGATCCGCGTAAGCGTCGAGGGGTGCTTCCCTTCGGATTCTTGTCGCGGTCTCTCCGGGGCGGGCATTGTCACGACCCCGTCGTCGGCTCACCCTCGGGGCTGGACTGTCTGGAACGTCCCAGATATTCTCGCCATCGTCTTCGGCTTCGGATTCGTCGCCGGCGCCGGCCACGGTGATTTGCGGCTGGGTCGGTGAGGCCCCAGGCCCTGATGAGCCATCGCCCTGCCGGCCTCTGCTGCGAAGACTGAGCACACGGGGTGATGGCCTCGGCGCTGGTTTGATGACCCGACACGGCTTCGTATTGGCCGGCTGCTTCCGTTGTCTTGCTGGCCTCAGAACAAGCTTGCCATTAGACACAACCTGCCTCCGCCAAATATCGCGAATCTGTAACCACCATCCCGGTCAGCGACTCGCCCAAGCGGCTTCTTCAGGCTTCCGCCCTTCTGTGCTTCTGAACCTACCACGTCGTTTGTGTCTTCCGGCAGCGATTCCCCCTCCGGGATGTACACCGAGCCGTCCCAGAATCCATGGATCTTGTTGTAGAACACAAGTACGGCGATCGTGCCGCAGTCTTTGCCAAACTGATAGTTCTTCTTGATCGCCGTCATGCCTCTCTTGCGCATGGTCTGGCTCACCCATGCTCGATCTTCTGGGTGGGGGGACCTGGAACGAGTCTTCCGAGGCGCCATGTCTGCCTCTTCAGCCGGAATGGAAGCAGAGACGAAACAGTATCGTCTTGGTCTCGATGCTGTTCCAAGATATGGAAGCTGTGTATGTATCGAATGTAGACCATCTTTTGAACGAACGGTGGAATTAAGTGGATGAATCGTCCTGTCCCAAACCGGACTCGCGACTCTCTTGCAGCACAGAACGACCCATTTCGCCCGCTATGCTTTCTTGCCATGCCAATGTCTTGATTCGAGTTCATTTTCGGCCTTCTTTCGCTGTCGAGCCATTGCCGAACTTTCCAGACTTGCCTTGCCAAGGACTGTTGGTCGGTTGTCGTGCAGCGGAACGGGTGATGTCGGTGTTACTCCATGGTCGTTGCAAAAAGTCCTCGGGCAATCCAGGTTTAATTTCCACCTCTCCATCACGGTGCCAGACTGTCGGGACGAAATCGACGTCGAGATAGGTCAACACGGTTGGAGCGAGGGGATGGACGAGGAATATGAGACGCAAATCCATGGTAGAGGTGGATCAAGTGTCTGCTAGAGCCAACATCTTTTTCAAACCCTGACTGTGGGTTCGATTGTACGGTGCCGCTGTCAATTTTGTTCTTCGACATCCTATTTCGGCCTTCCGTTCTTCCGTATTCTGCTTGCCCCCCCTAGTGCAGTCCGCTCAGCGCTGAGGTTACATCGGTAGTTAGGATCGACATATTCTGCATTGAACCCACATCACGTGGGGGACCGCAACGGTCAAAACGGACTTTTAATCGCCGATCTAGTGGCTCAGGGCCTGAGCTTTTGACGGTCCATTCCTGCCGTTGTAAAATACCAGCTGGTAGTAGTTATGTTATGTTATGTTATGCTATGTTATGTATATTTTAGCTCGTAGTAGTATGTTATGTATATTTTCCGTCCGATCGAAACAAAGCTCGTAGTAGTAGTAGTAGTAGTAGTAGTAGTAGTAGTATAGGGTAGCCTGTAGTGTTCATGCCACGGTGAAGTGGCGATACGCGATTGCATGTTCGTTCTACAATTGAATGTCGCTGCCAGCAACAATGACCGTCTTGGCAACCATATGATCAGTAGAGATTCCATTTCGTCCCGTTCTATTTCGACTTTTGCCCTCATTCTTACTGATGACTGTTTTAAGATATCATTCTGTTCCGTTGCTTGATGTATGTAGTGTCCGGGCCCATTTTTCCTTGTTTCATAAAAAAGTAACAAACTGCCGGGGAAGCGGAAGCAGATGCGGCAGATCCAGTGGACATTATCGATCGGAGAAAAGAACCTTGGCGCCGAAAGCAGTTTATGGCACAGCGTGGCTCTGTATTTTCTTGTGGCTCTTGATTTAGTGTCGAAAGGAAGGCTCCGACTCTCGCACCGTTGAAGGAAATTTTGCTCCGTATTCCGTACTCTCAGAACAGAAAATCCTTTCACGTAAAACAATCAATCCGCGGAAATAATTCCGAATGCCTCGGCTCTAGTGGGTGAAATAAAACAGCGAAAGGAAATAGGCAGGAGATAAGCGTATTTTGGTGTAAAACGATTGCGCAGTATTTCCCTCCCCACTCCCCCCTCTATCCACTTTCATGGTTTATTAATGGATCGATGATGTGATTCACATGAATCATGAATGAACTGCATATGGCCCCACATTGCGGGATATCATGTGAACTACAGAAAAGCTAAAATTTGACACTGACAAGCGACCAAGGTCGAACGAAGCGAGGCGCTGTAGAAGTGATGCCGGACTACGCAGATCGTCCAAGTTAGACTGAAGCTAGGCAAGTTACCCGGCATGACAGCACGCGCACTAGCACAGGGGTATTATCATGACAGCCAAAATTTGTCGTTCGCTGGTGGAACACTTGCGGAGTTGATGATATACTCCGCCGGAGAAGGCAGGCGACACATGTCAGTGGATATTGTAGTGCGCCCTCCTACAGCAACGAGGAAGAACCGAGTTTTTTTTATTAATTTTTTTAACTTTTTTTTCAACTCATTTAATTTACCCTGGAGTTCCCACAGGTAGATGAACAAAAGAAGCTTAATCATGGAAAAGGAAGCTGCGCGTGTACCCTCCTGTATTTTTTATGTCTTTTTATTGTTTCTTATTTTTTATTTAAATTTTTATTTATTTAATATTTTATCGCCATTTTCATCTGACTTCTCATCCGTGGCCTTTGAGAGTCATTGGTTGACTCTATCAACGGTGAGGGGCAGGGGAGGCTCTGGTACGTCCGGCTGTTTTAGCATGCTGATAGCACAAGTCTCATTCGGCAGTGATTGGATGATGGGGTCATGCTGGTGCTGGACAACGTGGGATGACGTGCCTAAAGCGCGTGCGCGCCTTGTGCGACAGCTGCCGAGCCAAATTTGGATTTAGAAACCGCACTTGGCTTCAACGGTCCCCAGCCAATTTTGGCTGACGTCGTGCATGTGGGGTCAAACCAGGCCGGAAGTGAATTGCGGCCAGAAGATCTGCAACGAAACGAGTCAGCAGAATAGGATGGCCCCGAAACCTTTCAGCATTACCTGTGCCCGTCCGAAGATTTTCGGAGCCGCTTCCACCCTTGAGAAATGGGGCAGTTAATTGTATTTCTCAAAGCGCCATAGCCCTATGTTATCCACTACGGTGACGAGCTACTGCAACATCCCAACATCGAGACGCGAGGTTAGCTACATAGAAGGAGAGATGTCAGCGACCCCGCCATCAAACATGCGCTAGGAGTGAGCGGACGAGTCCCCCGAAATGATCGTCCGTCATCCTCAACAGCCATACCAGAAGCAGCTGCGATTTTCTGCTAACTAAGCAAGCGATCGGCTTGTCGTCCCAGGGCGGACGGACAAAATGTCCGATTTCAAAAAAAAAAAAAAAAGAAAAAAAAAGAGAGAGAGCGCGAGTACCTAGGTCCAGAAACGACGCTTCGTCAGCGAAATGACGCCAAAGTCTGGACGGTGCCAAACGGTGCTAACTTGTAGGACAGTAGATAGGCAAGCGTAGAAAACGGACGCGTGCATCGCGACTGTACATTGTCGATTTCTGGATGGCTTCAACAAAAACGATTCAAGTCCAAAAGGGGCATGTTGCTGAGGACTTTCCGAAGGTACACAATATTTGTGAAAGGTTACCTTCCTCCCATGATGGCTGGGTACTCGACCCGTCGGCCGCCCGCCCAACAGGAGGGCTGCAGCTGCCTGCGCTGAACCAGACTGTCGGTAACAGCCATTTCCTACATATAAAGCTGCGTTGAAGGGAAGAACTGGACGCTGATACATTCATCGCTGCACCTGCACGGTAAGCTCTGGCACAGTCCTTCAGTCACTCGATCAGTCTCCTGACCGGCCTCCTCTTGCTTTCCCCTTCTATCTTTACTCCTTCTGTCATTCTTTTTTATACAGGTGCCTTGATCTATTCTATCTAATTCTCTTTCTATGGAGTCTTCACAGCCCAGACCATCGCAAGCCTATATCCGGTCGCGCCGTCCAGTGCTAGCACCGCAGGCCGCTCAGCGTATTGCTAGGAGGGCCTCTCGGTGCAGGCCTAAACGGACTGCTCTTGAGGCGCCTCAGGATGTCCGATCTAGTTCACTGGGGAGCTATCGGCGGCCGGTCGATAACATTCGGCAAAGTCGAATGATGCCAGTTCGTGATCGTATGTATGATCGGCAGCCTCAGCTTGTCGCTACTCTCGAGGACGAGGAAGATGACGAGATGGATTACCATGATGAAGAGTTTGTCCTATTTCTGTCTTCCCCCCCATCCCTTCCCCCTTCCCTCTTACCCTCTCTCTTTGACCTTTTTTACTTTCTCTCTCTTTGTTTCCATTCGTTCCGCCTTTCTTCTCTTGAATGTCACTGTACTTGTTCTCATCCCATCTATATTTGCCTTCTTCCACACTGTTTGACGTAATCCTTCGTTTTGCTCGCCTTGCCACGACGTCAATCACACGGACCACGCAAACGAAGTTAGACTGACAAAAAGTACAGACCTTGCTACGATGAAGAATTTGGAGACCCGCAAGACCCGCAAGACGACGACCGTTATGTTCTGGAAGCCCTAATAAACCAGCAGTGAGTCAGCCTTACACCATTGCACCACTTTGAAGCTGACACCTTAGCTTTACCCCAGATCGAAAGCAACCTTGACACTGTGAGTCGTCGTATCGGTCGAGCCTTTTTTATTTTTATTTTTTCATTTTCATTTTCTGTCGTTCGTCCTTGGCTAATCTTTTTTCCAAAGCATTAATAAAATGAGAACAGAGTTTCTTGAAAACATGAAGCAAATGAGAACTGAGTCTTCTGAAAACATGAAGCAAATGAGAACAGAGTCTTCTGAAAGCATGAAGCAAATGAGAAAAGAGTTTTTGGAAGCCTTGAAGCAAATTAGAACAGAGTACGTCTTAGTCCTGACTTGATCACTAGGGATTTCTTCTCTCTCTTTTCTGTTCCTTTTACCCTTTGTAGCATTTCTTCTTCCTAATTTCCCTCTAATATAGCTAACAAGATCTACAGCAACAATCAATTACCGCAACGGATAAGTGAGACCATAGTACGCACGATTAGTGGTCAGACCAACCTTCATGCACAGGGAGCCACAGGCCGAGGCGCTCCTTTCCAGATGGGATTGGACTCTACCGTGGACCCTTCCAATCTGATGAACAATACCGGAGGAACTGAAAATAACGGCTCGTAAAGGCCAAGTTCCGAAGGCGATCCTCAGGTCTAGCTGGACGCACTGGGAATGGATATCTACACATATTTATGTATACATATGTGTCTGTACATACATGGAGAGATGAAATGGTATCACGTTACGACGGGGGGATAAATTTATTGACATGGCTCAACAAACAAATATTATACCGAGTCAGGTTTGAGTTCGCAAAGACAATTGGATGGTGATGCAATAATAACATGGTGAATCTCCAAATTGCAAAGCAAAGTTACAACCGCCTTTCGCTGTGCCGGACAGAGAAGGGATGCAGACCTCGATCCGCTCATGACGACCTCCTAGGGCAGGCCCAAACTAAAGCAATATCGATGCTAGGCGAATGGAGAATTTTGCCAGCTGGGGAGAAAAACAAGAGTTTTCTTATCAATGACTGAGTTAGATTGAATAGGTTGCGCGGGTAGAGACGGATACGTAGGCTGTATTTAATGATCACGCCGGCAGGAAGCGCCGATATATACGTTTATACGTTGCAGGCGGTTACCGGGAAAACAATAAAAGGCAATCTCTCTCCACTCAATTCAAATGAAGCTAACAGTAGGATGCTAAATAAGCCAGGGCTTCTGATTCGGCGCATCGCTGCATCACTTCCAAACCGTCTTGAATGATCCCTCGTCTGCCATCATCATCTGTTACGCCGGCCACAAACGATGTATTGTCGCCGTCTTGATTCGACTCAAGTCTCAGGTTCGGTGGAGTGTTCAGAGGTGAGCTGCAGGTCTGTTGCCGAAACTGATGCTCCATGAACTGTGGCGGCGATTCCGTCGCGGACACCGTCTCAGTTGACTGCCCTTGAAGTACTCTCTCTAGCAAGGTCACATGCTCCTCTCCTAAGCGGATGAGGCTCTGTTGCCATTTCAATGTAGCCTCTTTCTGATCGACTGAGGCCTGGAGAAACTCGTACTGTGGGTGCAATCTTTCATTTTCCAGCGTAAGAAGATGGCTCCTCTCTTGTAGGAAATGGAGTAGCTGCTCAACGGTCATTGCGTGCGGTGGCGCAACGCGCGTTGGCGAAGGAACGCTAGGGAGCGAGCTGCTTCCCATTGAATCGCTGGCTGGCGGTTGAGAAAAATAGAAGCGGAAAAAAACTAATAAAGTCAGTTCGGTTCAAGGCACTGACGTTGAAAGTCAAGAGACGGTATAAATATTCATCCCCGCGCGCAATGAATGTGATATGTAGTCGACTTCTACCCAGGAGTCCATTTACGTTCTCGGCTTCTCTGTCGCATGTGAACAGCTGCTTTCTTCTGTTGTGTACGAACTTGAATTGTTGGACTCTCCGAAATGCTAGCTGCTCTCGAGGGTAGTGGCAAGATTGACTTGACTCGGAGATGTACTGTAAGCGATAGCCCTTTCTCACTCATTCCACAAAACTTGAGGGCGTGACAATAGCAGCACAATAGCAGCGGATATATTTTTTAGTGTGGATTTGAAACTGGACGGCCTTTTGAGGCTCCCTCTCCATTGTAGCTCTAAAACTGCCCTTGCCTCTACGAAAACGTTGGCGTTGATTGTGTTGATGGACTGTAGGGTGCTTTCCACTATCCTGCACCAAATGAAGTTCTACTGATGAGTATCTACTGTATACGCCTCACATCGCTACTACGTTGTATTCCCCTTACTACTGTTTTATTAAGAAGTTATATTCCATAGAAATGCTCTCTGATTACTGATGAGGAATCACCATAAAGAACGTGATTCTGGAAGAGACAGAGACAGCAAAATCAACAACAAAAAGGAGAGACGATGGAGTTCGAAACGAGCAACGTATCCAGGCGATTATCGGTACAGTATGGCGCATACAAATCTGGTCCTTATCCATCGCTAGTAGAATGCTCAGTGGTTCGAAGGTTTATCTGCTGCTGGAGTAAACTCCTGAGTCTATTCTCCTCCGTGCTATACTCGTGCAAAAGATTCTGGACCTTGTGAACGTGATGTTTTATTGTAGGTACAAATCGGACGACTGCCTCGTTGGCCAGTCTCCTGTAGTACATGCGCTCATAATGAAGCATGGCGAGGCGTTGCCTCAATTTAGCTTTCGAGGACACAGTATCACAACCAGGGGAAGGCTGAGATTTCTGATGAGCTATTCGAAGAGGTTCTACATAAGGCCAGCTTTGACCTTGATCCTCCTTGCTCTTTCCCATGTTCAAACTTCCTCGATTCATGGATGGGCTGTTTAGTGAATTGAAATCTCTGCCACCTGCCTGTGTAGCGGAACGAGGTATATGATCACTTATTATATAGTTTGGCTCCATCGAGTCTGGCTCGTAGCTCAAACTTATACCCGAATCCCGTAGTCTTGACTCTGATCTATGGTCAATGTTGCCGGCGTGATATTTGGCATCTAAGCTGCAGGCTAAATCGATACCTGAGTCCTGGATTTCTGGATCTGTTTCCTCCTTGATAACATCCTCAATGTACTGTCGCCAGTCGGTATTCAATTGCTCAATCAAGAGGTTTGCCTCCGTGACAACCGATCCGAGCGCAGAAGCCAATTGTCGTATCTGAGAAACTAAACGCAGTAGCACCCGATAAACGAGCTTTCTATTCAGTGCGATTGATTGCCTCATCATCCCATTTTGTCGTATGAGATTAATCTCCAACGTCTCGAGCGCAGACTTCGACATAGGGTGTGGAGTCGGCGGTAATGGACGGTTTCTTGCACCCTGACCCCAGGAAGACACCAAATTTACCTGAGGATCCTGTGCATCAGCGAGACCGTGAATATGAGCCTTGCGCTGATTGAGGCTCGAGAGAGGGTCGGTATGCGGGCGTTGGCGCCTGAACGCTTGCGAGATGCTACTCCCCATTTCGCTGCCGTGCAAGGTAGCTGTGTTATCATAGAGCAGAGCGTCAGGGATTTTGGATAGACAAGACTGGATCGAGGATTTAAGAGATACTAGTACATCGTTAGCCAGTGTAGCAAAGTACTTATCCTCATGATGCAGTCTCCCGTTCTCTCGGTTGAGTTCTACGATCCTTCTTCGAAGCGACACTTGATCGTCACCTCGATTCACATAAGTGATAGAACTGTGGGAAACGCTGGTTCTACCCCCAAGCTGCTGCACTTGATGATCTACTCTACGAGAAATTTGCGATGCTTCACTGTTGTAGTTGGGACAAGACCCGTATCTCACATGTTCCTTCATTGACAGTCGAAGTAGGACCTGGAGGAAGATACTTGAGGTCAGGAACAAGTATCAACGCTCTCTTGTGTCTAGACATAAAAGCAATTGCCATTATGAGAGGAATCGTTTGATTTTATATTGTGTGAGGCATCCAAAAAGAGCTTCTTGGCTCCTGGCTCTCTGTGTAGAGGTTAGTGGGGGAGGACGCTAGAAAACTCACTACTCGATCATCTATCGAAGTCGGGGGATGTGTTTAGGGCAATATTTTAAACAACCATAGCTGTAAGTCGCTGCGTATACAGGTACATGTGCATGTACTACAATACTGTGCGCTAACATATAATTTATCATTCATTACGACCCACTGCTTGTTGTGAGCAGGCAGGCACTAGTTATTAATGAATATCTACATTGCCTACTTTTTCGTTCCCGACTCCACAAGCCCATAATGTGCCACAACTGCCGGAATTGTGTCCATTTCCCACGAAAGTCTCGGCACATGGTGCTTGCCGTCTGTACCCAGCTGGCTTTGTATACATTATCATAGTGTCGAAGGGAAAGCAGCCGTATGGCCAACGCGCACTGTGAAGGCCAATCCATTCTAGGACAGTGGTAGCACCTGAGAGGTATGTATGTTGCAGAGCTGAATAATTGCTTATGCGCGAATTCCATAACCGAATTAAGTCATGCTAAGGGTTATGGATCGCATTCTGGGGAACTTCAGAGCTGGGATGACATTATCTCGGGTTGCGTCACGCATCTCTTCTCTAGTCGGCAAGATTGATTCTGCAGAATGAATACCAAGTATAGTCTCAACATACGCGAACCGCCTGGTACCGACTTCCCCTTCGTATCACGTCAAACCACTGTCCATGATCTGCCTGGTCTTATAGTGAACCCCACTCGTTTCTGGCCCGATATGTCAAAAAAAGGACGTCAATGTAATTTTGATGTTACGTATAAGGTCTCCAATTCTTCCAGACGCATCACTATGTTCCTCTGTCGACTATCTGTTTGTTACTGTCTAGATGCTGTTACCTTATGTAGGGTTCAGGTTGCAGGAGCCTATCCAATGCACGCAGGAGACTGGCAAGTATGCGGCTGAACGTTCAGATAAATATGCAGAGAAATACACGGACATACACAGAGATGCAGGTATAGCAAGCTTTCCTCAGTTCGAACATCTCCCGACAGAGCTTCGCCTGATGATCTGGCGAGCAGCTTTTGATGGCGTGGACCCGGCAGTGGCAGTCTGCACATTCGCGCGTGATTGGTGCGAGATCACAGTAAGCCTTCCGCACTCCACGCATGGTCGTCCACCACCAATTACATATGCGTGTAAAGAGGCGAGGAGCGAATGGCTCCGCTCCAGCCGTGTCTACACAGGGCTCGATCGAGCTCTGGAACATCTATTTGTCCCTCGAACCCTCTTCCTAGTTCCTCCTTCCGCGATCACAGACTCTCAGCTGGAAGATCTCATGCTACCTATAGAGCACATTGCCGTTGATATTGCAGACAGCCCTGATCTCTTTCCCCTTTTTGAGGCACTTGCCCGACTTCCACGTTTACGGACGATCATAATCGTTATACCTTCAGATGCTGTTGAAGAGGACCAGGTGATAAATTGGCAGCAAGAGATACGGCAGGATCGGACGACTCTGAGACGCATGAGCGACTTAGTGGACGCACCAGCACCAGACGGCGAGTGGCATCAGCGCACTTACATGGGATGGGTCCTATGTAATTACCTGGAAGATTCCATGGCGAGAGAGTACTATGCGTGTGATAACAGGCCAAAGATAAAGCTTTTCGTTGATCGGAGGGGGTCGCCCTTGACGACAGAAGTAAATACGGAACAGCCGTGGGCACTCTATTTCTACTGAGTCATCCAACTGTGTAGTTAATTGAAATCTTTCTGGATTTCTACTACTGCGTTTGCTTAGCGCAAGTGAAACATACTGTCATTCTCTCTTCATTCCATGTCCTGGTTTTGCTCTTTCCCTCCATCTCCATTTTTTCCACTTGATTGAGATGATTGGAAGAAGAGAAGCAAGAGAAAGGAAATAAAAATCAAGGTGCATTAAAGCATATGCCTAGCAAGCTGGCATCACAAGCGATATGAGCGTCATATTCGTGGTGAAATTTGATTGCGCTAGGCGGACACCTGGCGCAGTACTTAACGCCGTACCAGCAAGCGCCGTCTAGAGCAATCTGCGCCTATATCTAAGTGGTAGTTGTCTGCGGGGGGAGGAAAGGTGTGTCCTACTTGCTAGTGAAGGGTAAACTGGACTGTAGAAATTTTACGTCTTCGGCATCAATGTTGGCATCTGTCAGCCTATCACCGACCAGGTTGGCCTCAGCTTCCACGCATTCCTGAGGAACATTTTGCAGGCCATTGTGAGAAAGATTTGTTTTGTTGTTCGGCAGGTGAGCACTTCCAAAAATGGTCCATGTTAGTGCCTACATTCGTCTAGTCCACCATAGAGGCGAGATTCTCGAACGAAATTATGGGCTTCTAGATTGGTTGAGGAGATTGTTCAGAAATGGCCAAGTTTGAGGTCAGGCATGCTGTTAGTTAAGTATTAGGATTGAGCAGCAGCATGTGATAGTAGAAGCTCCACGTCTGAGCTTATTTTCAGTCCCCCAAGTTCGTTGTTTCGGCGATCTATATCAGGGTAGGGTAGTTCGTCTTATGTTACTCAGCTGCCAACCAGGGTTTCTGCTCAGAAGAGGCTAGACCGTTTGTTTCACAGATAAATCCTACTCCACTTCATGCTACCGCCTTATAAACTTCCTCCTCTACTGTTAAAATTATCTAACTTGCCTCGGTCAACAATGCGAACCTCTCTCCGAAAATCTTGTAATGCGTGAGCAAAGGCAAAGTATAGCTGCGACCTCGGAACTCCAAAGTGTTCACGATGCGTCAAAAGGAAAGTCACGGGTATTTACACAAACGTGCCTGCCTTCTTCATCTCTAATAGAAGCCATGTCCACGAGCTAGCATACCAAACAAATCTTCGATTTTATAACCTAATTCTATTATCATTCTTTTGAGCCGGGCTTCTATTTAGGTTCTTTGTCATTGCGTTTTGCAGTCTTAACAGACTTTAAATTTCTCAAATGACTTTTCAAGGCGCGTGGAATAGCCCAACACGAGGCTAACTCTAAAAGGCTGTACAGTTTGCTAACCATTTCTTTCGTTCTAGTATGATACGCTCTTTAGCATCTTCGAAAATCAGTCCCATATGGCACGCAAGCCCTGCAGACAGCTCGAAGAACTTATATGTGGGTGTCCAATCAGCTTTTAGACTGTCGACTTCGGATTGAAGAAGCTCAATCTTATTGGCTAACCCCATATCGGTATGCGCATCCGTCTCTAATAGTATAGGCGGAGGGGAGCAAACGAGGCTTTCTAGAAAGAAGGGTTCGTCTGAATACAGACTTGAGGAAGGCCGGTATCCAGGGTCCATACTAGATGAATAATAAAAGCACTGGCGTGGATTACAACGCCAATGAGCCGAGGTAGTATATATAGCCCAGACGGCCTTCGTTTCTCTACGAAAGCAATCAAAACCATGAGCACGCTGATCCGACGAAAACAGGCCTTTTGCGTGTTAAACGCGAGACGCTCTAAACATGCCGCTGTTCCATGTTACCTTCATAGACATCCTGATTCAGACTATCAGCACCACCGCCAACAAAGCCATGGGAAAATGTGGGTTGGCCAGCATCGCCATTTGATTAATCGACAATTGGTCAGAATCAAACAGGTTCCGCGTCCATCCTTGTCCATTTGCGAAAAACTCTCCTGCATCTCCCATGACAATGTTGTACGACCAGAGTCATTCTATTATGAGACTGAGAATGACAATTTCTTCATCGTTTTTGAGTATCTACACCTTAATGTGTTCGACCTTTTCCCATTACTCCCAGAAGAGGTATCTTGTATAATGAAACAGGCAAGTCTTTCCTTCTCGGGCGATTGTGATGGATAGCTGATTATTCAAGATCGTTGCAGGCCTTCGTCACCTTAAGGGTCTTGAAATGGTATTTGGCATCGATATCATTCAAGTCAATGAATATGGGATAATTAAGATAGGTAAAGCTCGCAAATAAGGGTGAAAGGTCTTTAACTGACAAAAGGGAGTGCTCGATTGGAACTGGGAGTTTTGTGCTGATGGTATCTTATGCGATGCGAACGAGGGCTACATAGTTGCTTATCTCGAAGGAGTCATGACCACAATGGCCCAAAGCTGTCTGGATCTACCAAAGGAAGCCTCTGACTTCCTTGCGGGCGGTGAATTGCCCAGTCTTGATGTGAGTACACTTTTCAATGAAAGTACGCAGCTAATTCTAAATAGGACCCATACATTTATCGCGCTGCTGGCCCCCACCTTCTGACGACGGCGGTTCAGTTCGCCCTTCGTGCAAAATTGCTGGCGAATGAAGAGTCTCAACGAACTTAGCCACTGACATGTCTGTAAGGCTTGTTTATTTGAAGCGACAGAAACATATATGATAGATTAAATTTAGTAACTTAAATTAGGGATATGAATGCCCTCACCATTCCATCACAAAAACCTGCCGTTTGCCTACTGGCCAGGGAAACGCGCTGATGACCACCGTACCGGGGAGAAACCGGCGTGCCCGAGGAAATAAACCCAAACTTGAACCTCAAAACTCCCAGTAAACAATTTCCTAATGGGACGTGGGCCCCTCGGAAGCTGGCTTTTACGAGTGGCTCCCTTTTCCAAGAAAAGGGGATGTACGGGATTCGAGCCGCTGGCTTGCCTCGCACCGCGCAGATGCTTCCCTAGGTGCTTGGTCACTACAGTACGATAAAAATACCATTAGAAAAGGTTGACTGTGTAACTGTATATTGATTTACAAACTTGTATTGGATACTTTATCGAGTCCAGATTTATCTTAGTTATGGGCATATAACTTGGCTTGTGATCGCTACACTACTGTGAAGACGCCTATACTGGAAAGAGCGAGTTATGAACTTCCAGTCTTCATCAAGTACACCACTGACTTTCAAATCAACCTTGCATTTCATGAACATATTCTATAGTCTGCTAGTATTACTCGTTATGCCTACTGTACTACCACGTGCTTGGTTTCGTCTTTCCATGATTATTGTAGAAGTACATTTCATAATGCCTCTAAGGAACGATTAAAGGTACACATATAAAGTCGCGAATTCTCTCATACTCTCATAGGGAAGGGGAAAATGCCTGAGCGGCCCATTTAAAAGAGTGTATCGATTCTTTCGAAGACGCTAAGGCCCTAAGATATTTTCAAGTTTCACTCCCACTGCTACGATTTGATCAAATTACATGTGACTTTTCACCATGTAAATCAAAATGTGGCGGCTCAATCTTCGTGGGCCTCGAATGGATGCTTCTAAGTGGAGAGAAGCAAAATGAACAAGTCCTAGAGGCATAGCGAATTAAGGATGAAAGCCACGAAACTCACACAACGAACATGGCTTGTTTTCGTGTAATTATACATCCTCTCCGTTACACAAAACCCGACCTTCGTGTTATGGCTGGCCAAAGCCATTCGTTTCAGTGTCGGTGGTTATCCGACTGCCTTTGTCAGAATGATGGAAACCAATCTGCATGCACCTCATCAAATCTCTTGCAAAGGGAGTTTAATTCCCTATAGTTAATCAACGCTACACATTTGATTAAGTCGCAACCAATGGAGTATCTTAACCAGCTATCAATTTGTTTAACAAAGGTTTGAGAGCACCTTATAAAGTAACATGAAATATAAAACGTCGTGCTTTCGCAAATAATTTCCAATATGCTTGTCTTTAATCAAAGCTTAACATAGGCGAACTCTGAGAAATCTGGTGGTTTGTCATGACAGACCACACGCCCATGATCATCTAGATAGGCACCATCATTAGACATATCGATAGAACCCGAAATTTGTTTACATTGGTCAATTTCATCTTCGCTGACATGAAGGCCATCTCGAGGAATCCAGATAATAGGCTGTCTTACGGTGAGAGCATAATGCTTGAATGCTTCATCGACTAGGATTTCCCTCTGATTTTTAGGTACCTCTTTTAGCGTCGTGGGAAATTCGGTACTTAATTTACTGGTTGTGTTATTACGGGGATGCTCCGACACTTCATTCTTCTCGCCCATGTTTGATATATCCTCCAAACACATTTGTGGCAGCTGGAGATCATCCTTCACTTGTTTCTTCTGGCCGGTCATCGTCACTTCATCATTCCCCAAATCCACTGGTAGAAATCGGAAGAGAGGAGCGAACCTCCAGTTCAGAAACACCTGGAAGAGAACAGTAGCCACTAACGCTATTGCCATAATTATGGCATGTGCTGAACAGACTGCATTTGCCTTTTCGTCTTTGGCCATGAAGAAAAGCCCGGTAAGACATAGTTCCATTACGTACAAGCCGGTGAATGTCTGGTTGAGAGCGCGAGGATAAAGAACTCCTCCGGTGTCGTGATCAGAGCGATAAAAATTTAATATTGCGTACCGCTGAGCAAGCCATATGAGACCGAACGTGAGAATAGCAAAGACAGAAATAAGTGGGGATATTATACAATAGATTAGAGCGATGCATGCGAAGTTCGTGTATACAGGGAACACGGAGCCCCACTTAACCGAATGCGGTTTCGTCTTTCGGAACCATTTGTCTCGTGCGCTTACGTCAAACATTGGCCCGACAATGTAATGCGAAATCAAGCTACCCACTTGAAGAAGCGTCGCAGCACTGGTAGAGAACGACTGAAGAACCATGTAAGAGAAGAAGTAATTTGACGCTTTCGGGAGGTTCTGAGCAAGGATATTGACCACTACACTGGCTTGCTGCACGCCCCGGACGTTCGTGGCTAGCTCTTTGATCGACGCCGTAAAAAAAGAAGCAATGGAAACAACTAAAAATACTTGTATGAACAAGAAGGCAAAATAAAAAGTCTGAACAAACTCCTGTCTCAAAGAGTAAGTCTTGACACCTTTGAAGTCCGCCAAATATTCTAGAAGAAACGGTAAGAGGATTAAAAGAACTGTTAATGCTGTAGTCGGTAATAAGCCAGCAACTGCTGAAATGACATGTCTAAGCGCTTCTGTACGGCCAATGAACGAAAGCAGGTCACTCCCTTGGATTAGTTGATCGACCTGACTGAGGGCGCCCGTCCACGCTACCGGAAGTGACCACAAGGATATCATTAGGAATAGAATAACATAAGTTATCAGCGCACGAACCCAACCTGCTTTATAAGACAATGCTATATTCGTCCAAATGATCTCATCTGGAGAGAATCCAATGGAACGGGGTGCCATATGCTCTGGTAGGTGATGAATTACGCTTTGGCAAGCCATATGTGCCGCCATTTGAGTGCGAAACTGGACAAATGCTGAGTTTGCGGACGGAAGGTCAGCATAACATGTCTGCTGCTTTTCAATTCTTATGTTAAGTTCTTCTAACTCTTTGCGACACCGACTTATAGTGTCGACTTTTTCGAAGAAAGGCGCACCATCAAATAACCATCGCAATCCCAAACCTGGGAGTCTATGTGTGGGCCGGTCGCTCCTACTCAAGAACTTTTCCCACAATCCGCTGCTGCTGTCTTTTTCACAATCAGTACTTGGGAATTCACGGGGGTCAGGGCGATTTCCGCTGGTGCCATGGATTCCAGTGCTCTTAGAATTTGCACGAAAGAGCCGTCGCCAATACCCTGCTTTACCCTTTTTCCATGCGTAATGGGCATTTCTAATCAAGGTTGTCTCCGCAACCTCCAGTTGCTGGACAATTGTGTCGCGGCGATCGATCAATTGAAGCAGCAAAGAGAAGTCTCTATTGACCCATATGTTCTTTACACCACCTGGAAAATGATTAAAAAGCTTTCTCAATTTACTGTCAGTACACATTTTTGCAGGGATTGAGTCGACAAGAATAGTTGCCGCTGAAGGTCTTGATCGATGTTCAGCACTGGTAAGATGAGTTTGTCGTATTTCGATGTAGGCCCTCATCTCATAGAAAAACAAAGCGCAAACCCATGCGATAGTAACGATGGATATCACGAGATGCGCCCAGTAGCGGTGAGCATTGCTTGGTCTGATATTACCCCAGGCCAGCGTGTCCAGGCCAGTGACTTGTGCGTTGTCATGATCCTTTGCAGCACGTCCATCGGCATCAAGTTGATGACCGCGCCCATCGACGTAATTTAATGGAATCAGCACGGGTATCACGAGCGTCGCTATTGGAAAAAACGCAAGAAGAAGAGTTCTCAAGTAGCGGAGAAAAAAGTAGGCATCGAGACCGCAGTCGCGGGCAATGTCCGAGTCGCCGCTGTTCAATGACCGTTTGATGGAGGAGATTAGACTCAAGGATCTCACATCAGGTTTACTTAAACGAGTTCGTTGTTTTATTTTGGGTTCATTGCTAGATGATTTAGTGTCCAAACGACCCATACTACAAGCAGGTGATCTTACAAGATGCGCCCCAGCTTGTTCCTCAGCAGCAAGAAGAGTAAGAGCTGTAACATAAATATCGCAAAACCACTGCTTAATGCAGCGATAAAGCTGGAAACTCCGATTCCTTGGTCCACTTGAGCGCCGCCTGGTTGTCTACTACCTTCACCTCTAGTAAGGTGATCGTTGTTGGGAGTACCTGTTTCAGCCAGGGTAGTCCAGCTCATTATTTCGACGGTCAACTGCACGTTTCTCTATCTTACCCAGTACGTTGAAAGCAACCGGGACTGAAGCGTCAAACTGAAGACGTTCTGCCGTATTTAACTCTAGTTTTATTTCATGTCGGCCGGGTTTGTGGTCAGCATTGTGATATATTTTCATCCTCCGAAACGCCCTCAGGCAAAACTCGCAGCTTAAATCAGCCAGTTCAAAGTATGATGAAAAACAGGATGTTTTAGGTTCAAATAAAAGTTTTTTCTTTTTTTAAGAAAGGTGGAAATATGTACAGTTCTGACCAAAACCAGATGCCGCCTTGCTTTCATCAAAAAGTCTGTGAGCACGAATCAGGACATGGTTGGTGTGTCTAGTACAGGCCGTAGCATGTAAGTCAACAAACGGACGTTGACACCAAGTCTTGTTAATACATTACACAGGTCCACTATTGGCCATCATGTTCAGTGATTATTTTAATTGGGGTGCCAGAAAATGCTAAACAATACCCTACCACAGGTCATCTATGATTACCGTACTGAACTGCTTGCCTTTGCTTGAGATCTACAGCGTAAGACATAACTCACAGGTACCCCCTGTACAGGGTGGTGCGGGTCCAGCGTCAGTAGTTCATTATTATAGTTTTATTAAGAATGCCCTAAAATGGACTAGACGTGGCGCATGCTTAGTATACTACCGATGCTAGTATGATCCCTGGCCTTCCTACTTACTAATAGTATTTAGATGGGTATTAGTGATCCTAAGTGAATTTTGACTCTATATAAGACCAGATAAATGAAAAGGATATATTAGGCTGGTTTGCATAAAAGGCAAAAGATTATAAGTCGATTAGAATACATGGTCTTCGAAGCCTAGGCGCCGAAATGCCTAGATCCTGTTATAACTAAGACATAGCAGGGTTAATTCCGGCACTGGCTGTACATATCCATGCGCCGCGCTTAGTCCGTTTTGGGGCATTCTCAATAAAACTATAATAATAAACTACTGACGCTGGACCCGCACCACCCTGTATTAAAACAAGCAGCTGTTCGTAATAGATTGTATTGTATTGTACTGTACGTTATAGCACAAGACAGGAAGAAGAGGGCAAGATCAAAGGACTAGCTAAAGCAGGATGGGCGGTCAGGATAGCGACAAGCAGCTCCGCGCGGAATGATCTAGTCAGCATGGGAAGAGCTATCAGAATTCCCATGTACGTGGCAAGGGCCGGCAAGACCAACGAAACCTTTTCGGCCACCCTGGGCTTGAGGGAAGGAAACAATCCATAGACAGCCGAACTAGCAGCGATTGCTCATGGCCGTGGCTGTCTGCCAGAGATCAAGTATTGAGTTATTTTGATCTTGGCGAGTAACAGATCTGCAGTACAAGCTATAAGTAACCCTCGCCAGCAATCAGGTCAAGGGTATATACGAGAGATATATGATGGTGTAGAGAAGCTTAGAGCAAACGGAAACAGAGTCAACTCCATTTGGTAGCTTCCTCTCCATTCTTAGAACCGGAATGGCGCGGTTGAACGGTTATCTTATCAGATCAGGGCAGCGACGACGGACGAGTGCCCACGTGGGCGGGCAAAGGAATCGGTAGTGCATTTCTTCTTTCGATGGGTGAAATGGACGACAAAATGCAAAGAGATGTTTCAGTGTACGAATGAGAAAAGCGGCAACCTCTCCTTTCACGTAGGAGGCAAGGCAGCATCATACGGTCAGAAATGGACAACCGACAATAGATGCGGTACGAGCTACAGTTATGTTCACGATCGCCACACGTTGCCTGGAACAGACATGGCCCAAACTACACTACCCTGACATCATTCAATCAATAACACCAACTAACAACCCCTGACGCCCTCAAATAGCCAACAGCAGGCATCGCTTCAGCCGCCGAAGGTAGGAAACGGAACACTTGGAGGAATTGGGCTTCAAGTCGGCTTGCGAGGATACGGGAGAAGAACGATGACTAGACTGGAAAGAACAAGTTGAGATTTTCATGGGCTTAACGAGAGTGAGGCAAAAACTAAATAGACGTTATGTAGTTTTCGCTTCAGAGCCCTTTGGGCATTGGCCTACCAGGCGAAATAGACTTGTGTGTGTGTGTGTGTGTGTGTGCGTAGCCGAAGAGTTCTCGTCATGAAGGTTGAAATTAGAAATTAGTTATGTCAGCACATCGCAATAGGCTCACGATTCCTCCCAGACTCCTAGCTCTTGGACTTTCTGTCAAACGAGTTCAATATTTTGGAGCACAGCCCTCGAACACGCAGTCGCTCAATTTTATTTGGCTGCTTTGCCGTCATAAGTTGTAAAGCACGCATATACATAGAGAATAGCATAAATAGAACCTAGCCATGTTTTCGCCAATGGCAAATGGATAATTTTCTGGATAAGCGCCTTAGTTGAAAGATGCTATGCGATTCCCCAAGTTTCGTTCTTAGCATATCTGACTTTGAGCAAACATTGAGTAAAATGTTATCAACTGATCGTGAAAGGGAGAAAAGGACGGGGTCCAAGATTTGTTGTCGATCTCGGTAGACAAGAGCTTATTCGACGCTGGGCCAGAACCTCGAGCAAATAGCCCTATGTAGAAGGTTAGATAACTTGATATAGTAAGGTTTTATTAAAATATGCAAAGATTTAGTCTTGTAACCATCTAAATAACCATCTATCTAAATCCTCCCGTCATCCATCTTTGAGAGATCAAGTTCGGACTATAACACCATAGCGCACGTGTTTCATCAAGTTTAACGGTAAGCCGATGATCTCGAAATCGAAACCGATTTCAACAATTCCTTGCAACTCTTCTGCCGTCAATGAACACCGACATTGAGTATTGTTTTGGAGTACTATCTATTGGCATGCTCCTGCGAGATCTGAAGAAGGCCCTCTCATGTTCATCGAGACTGAAAGCATCTCGGAGCTGATTCAATTTATTGTTGATCTTTGATATCATCCACTGATGAGAAAATTGGCGAATACTCTTTGAGTCGCTTTGTGACGATGTGTAGAAATAACTTTTGTCTTGCGCAATATCAACATGATGTCGTTCTTCCCCTGGGGGACTATCCTCTCTCCTCGGATGCCTGGAAGCCTGAGGATCGCAAAGTAAAGGTTCTGTCCCAGAATACATTGATTCCAAGCATCGAGTATTCTGTGTTGTTGAGAAGAGATTCAATTTACTGTTGTCAAGAACCCTTCGCGTTTCAATCTCGACACCATGCCGCTGCCCATGTGTTATATGTTCCTCTAAAGGCTCGGAGGTAGTGGCTGGATATCGCACTGATCCGCTCCGGAAGCCTCCTATTTGACGCCCTATTCTTCTTGCTAAGCAGATCGGAGACCGGAAGCTCTGCTTTGTTGATTTGACTGGTGGAGACGGGGGATTGATATGCAAGTTGAAATCGTTGTTAGAAGGCGTTGAAAGTTCTAGCAACGAATACTGCGTATCATATCTCGGAACAGTCCTGGGGAACCGGCTGTCTATGATATAAGCACTATCCTTTTCTTTGGAAGTGCCCAATATGTCGTTCATGTGAGTTTTCAAGGATGCATAGATAGATTGTGTCTTAGAATGCCTGCCATTGCCTCGGTAGGACTTGTGAGGTGTTCTTGGCTCAAGAACGTTGTCGTGCCTAAAGAGACCCATAGCTTGCTTCTATGAAGATGTCTTGATACCCAAGAGGCACCCAAGTACTTCATCCATAAATTCTGAGTCTCTCCTTGTCGTTGTGTAAATTCAAAGCGAAGTGGTTAATTATCGAGATGCCAAACCGGCAGAACAGCCTCGCAGCTGAACTTATGTGGATTACAATGTATAAGATACACTGTGATTATTGAAGACTCCTTTCGAGAAGAGCCTTCCTCACGTTGAAGCACCAATATTTCATAGATGAAGTCCCATATGGGACTCCTGTGAGAACTGGTATTAAATGTGTATTTAAGGCCTCCCCCTGATGTGATACTATGCCCTAATCAAGTGACTTAGTTAGCTAATGTAAAGACATAAACAGACCTTCCTATGGCATCCAGGAAGATCTTGATCTCGCCGATGTTATTTGCTGGCCCATTTCGAACTTTTTCCAAAACTGCAGTTCTTTGTACCATGAGAGTTAGTCTAGATTGGACGATCTTTGGGCCCAAGCGTATCCTGGGCAGGTATTCCACCTTGTATTCATATCTTAGCAGGGCGCCTAGATACTTAAGGCCTATGAGCCACAAGCCTCTGCTCAATATCTGATCATGTGTAGGAGCGAGTCAATATGCCTGAAGAATTTCATGGTAATTCAAATATCCTCGCTTCGCTGCCTCATGATATGTTGAATCAGTTGCAACAATGGCTGGAATTCTGCCGTCGACTAGATGATGATAACACTCACCTAAAGCGTCAAATTTTAGAGCTGCAGGCGCGTAAAGATCGGCTCGTGGCATACGAGAATACGTGCGGAGAGATGGTTGCCACACAGAACCAACTGATCGTATCTCTAAGCGCGAGGATGGCTACCAGCGAAAGGCCGCCCAAATTGATCCCTGATCCAGTCAAAGATTCAGAAATTCCTATCATTTCCCTTGACGAGATTACGCCGGAGTCAAATATCCCACCGACTACGAACGATGCGAATTCACTGACGGTACACTCAGTTTTCGCATAAAGATCATAGCATCATCTGCAATCATCGCTGGAAGATACGGAGCGCGAATCTGGTATGTACATCAGCCAACATTCAATGACCGACTCTCCTAGAGGGTGCTGATACGTATGTAGGCCCAAGGCTCGACTATCCAGTCGTGGTGCATACGAATCTCGGAGTAGACAGGGATACCGGTACTTAGACGACCAGCGATGTCGGGCGTACTTGAGCGGGTTTAATGGCGAACATGAAGATTGAAGTCTGCTGCGGAATGCTATCGTTAGTCTCAGAAGACCTCAGTATAAAGGAAAGAAGAGAAAAGAAAGTTTGCCCATCTGATGACTGCGGTGAATTGTTTAACAGTAAGCATATACTGGGATGCGGCGTGCAAGCAGGGGCCTTCTATGACTGCGCACGGAAATAGTAAATTCTCCAAGTCGTAGAGTTTTCACAGAACATAACATGAATACACAAATCTGCATCAATGGACCGAATATACGTAATGTATGAAAATTTCCGTTTCATATGTCTATGCGTGACCTTGGCCTACCATTCAGCGACGATAAATGTTATGATTGTTTGATTTAATAGGCTTTATAAATTCCTCTGTACAGTGGCTTGTTCTCTGAAACAGAACTCCAATCTCACCTAATCGTACAATTTAGTTTCTCCACCTAAAACAATATGTAACAGAAGTATCAAATACTAGCTTCAGTAAATATAACGCCTAGCAATGGCATGGTTCATTGATACCCGCGCCTATAAGTCATCCTAGACTTCAGAAGTGGCAGGTCGAATTCATGGAACACAATCGAGACCAGAATGCGCCAATTCCCGATGGTCGGATGTGCCAAAGCCGGCATTCAGTGCTTGCCTTCGGATAAGCCATTCTATCGCGAAAGGTGAACCGTTGATGTGTGATTCCTCATCCGCCCCTTCTAACAAAGCAATCGAGATCGAACTACTGAGGTTTGGTACGGCGAAATTTACCTTGAAACAGAGATCTGTATTGATATTCTCATACGTAACCCTCAGGAACTGGGCTCCTACTCGGAATGCCGCTTCTCTCTCGCACAGCTGCCTGATGAATCCTTCGTATTCTGGCGTGTGAGCTCTCAACTGGCAGATGATTCGACCAGCACATTGATAAGCACCCCTCAAGAAGTACGGCGGATGGAGTTCATCTAGTTCGAAGAGGAAAAGCTCAGCCCGTAGATGACGGCACAGTCTACGAAGGCTTGATGATCGTGTCGCCGTATCGTGGGCCGTCTGTCGTACGCGCTCTACCATACTTACCTCATCAAGCAAAGGTTCTTCTCCCATGAAGTCGACGTCAAACCGAAAAAGTTTTGTGCCACTGTCGGCTCTCTGATGACTCAGAAGATGGCTCCACGTGACTTTTGAACCGGTTTGCTTCCAAAGAGCCCTTGAAAGTCTAGGAAGAAACTTTTCAGATAAAATGCCTGATGACCCATTATCATCGTCTGAAGCAGAACCGGTGCCAAGCGAAACCACAACACTAGGTTCCGCCATATCTGGACTCAACAATGTTGCTTCACGAATAGCAATGCATACTGGATTGTTAACTGCAAGCCCACCATCTTGAAAAACTCCGAGGTCGCCGATACGCGCTGGCTTGAAGTAACTGTACATGATTTAGCCATGACTTGTGAACAAGAAACCATATCAACGTACTACGGTGCTGCTGTTGCACATCGCAACCTGTAGAGGTTTAGCTTTGTTAGCCTTGAGGCGGTCTCGATTCCACTTACACCTGCCACCATTTACTTTGTGATTGCCCGTCATTCAATTCGAGATGACGATAATCTAGTCGCTGTTAGCAAAAGACAGTAGTAAGTGACACTTCCAACGGCACGCACCAGAATCCTGGGCTTGCCCTGTGGCGCTGTTATAGTTTGTGGCGAGGAATACGCTGCCATCACGTGCTCTGGTCAATGTTACACCTATATGGGCCCCCATAGCGGTGGCTGGGGATATATCGGTTGTACTTCGGTTTTGGCCGTATGTTTCAATCAACAACTTCTCCAGCCCCTCAGCAGTATATTTGCTATCAGCTAGCAATGTGCAGATCAGTTGGAATAGCCATGCCACATTGGACAAAAGTGGAAGACGGTTTAGTAAACGTGTAAACCGCGAGGAACGCTGGATGAATGATTGTTGGGCAAACTGCTTGAGATGAGACATGCAATCGTCTACGTTCCATCCCAGAATGTCCAGACAGATCACGCTCAATGCACCTGCACATCCGTTAGTCTTGCAAACACGGATCGTCAGTACGCAAACATCACCCGAACTGGTCCCGACCTTGACGTCGAAACTGCGTTGTACATTATAATACGGTATAGCGATCTCGTCTTGGATCGCCTTGAGGAAACCAATTGGGGCGGACCCACGTATGCCCCCACCATCAATACTCAAGACCCGGAGTCGGCTGGTATCAGGAAACAGACGTATCGAAATTCCTGGGGTGGGCTGACCGCAGATATGACATGATTGTGGTACATACTCCCACGGGTCAGAGCTGCTTTTAGGACTGAACGTTCTAATACAATTTTGACAAACAAGATGTCCACATGAGAAGCCGTACTGCGGCCGCCGCCTAATGCAGCTAAGACAGGTGTCGTTCGACATGATGCTTCGTAATATACCAAAATTTCGGGCGAGTTGCTGCCGATGCCAGTCACGCATCGAGCCCAAAGCTTGGGACTGCGCGAACTGAGTGAACATGCTGCACGATATCAATCTTACAGTTTCTGAAGGTGATATGAGCATCTTAAAGCTTGATTTGAGTTCAGAGCTGGCTTGATAGCAAGCATTTTCGTAAAGTTCACGAAAGACCTGGTGAGAGTCGAAGGCTAAATTCGGTTAACACGAGTAAGTAAAGCGTTCTGGTAGCTTACGGTGCATCCCAGGCGAGTAATGGTCGAGGAGGAGACTTGAGGCGATCAACGGGACAGCCACCTGCTGGAACGTCTTGAGTAATTCAAACTTTCCTAGAAAATTCCTGATATGGTCACTCAAGTCTGGTGCTATTCCTCGATGGAGCCGAGAAACCTTCACGAAGCTGAAAGGTTCCGCAGTTACGCTCAACGCTACGCTAGCAGCATACTGTAAGAAGTGAGCAAGATGGTGTACCGAGAAGATCGAGTCAGATCGTCGTCGAGCCTGTCTACTAGTCTCTAATGCCTTTGATAACTCCGAACTGAGCACTTGCCATCGCCGCGTCTGTCCGCCGCTTCGCCGTCTACTTTTACCGGACATCCTGGGAACTCCAACGAGAGTGATGCCACTGAGACTCGGATCAAGGCTTCTAGACCGGTGTTCTGCTACAAACCTCTGAAGATCACTTTCGTGTCTCTGTCTCCATTCTTGCCTTACTACAAGCAGGATATGTGGCCGCACGGGGCTAGTTGATGGTGGTCCACTCTGGAGCCAGAAACGTAATCGTTTCAACGACTCACCAAATCCTCCTAAATCATCGACGAATATGCATACAACGTCAGCAGATGGAAGTAGAGTTCTACGTAAGAGATTTTCATAGTCAAGTCCATCTTCAGGAACTTGTTGCTTCGTGTCAGTATAGACTCTTACAGCGTGACAAGCACTGGTGCTCAACAACGGCAACTTGGGCTGTGATCCAGACGCATCTGTATCAGCGATCACGATACGCTTACGGCGATTCTCTTTCAACGAAGAGACAAGTAAATGAACCTCCCCTCCTGCCCTCGCCCGGATCCTGCCCGTCTGGAAACTTAGCTTCTTGAAGGCCGCCTGTTTCGATTGATTTCCGATTAACACCAGTAGGCCAGCGCTCTCGGCGTCGGGATTTTCGAATTCCTTCAGCAGGCGTTGAGGTCGGTCTGTGACCTCTAAGCCCGTTTCTATGCCCAGGCTCCAGGGTTTAAGCCAGCATGTATGACGGCAGCAACTCATTCTTGGTAGTTCATCAAGTGCTTTGTGAAAATGTCTAGGCCATGTTTAAGTATTTACAGACTTGGTGCTACGGTTTGCTTAAAAGACCTCTATCAGCCGTAGCGATTACTTTTGATATTTGCTAAATAAGGCTCTTGAATGCCAATTTCCATATTCAATGAGGCTTTATTTCAGGACATAAACGATACTGTACTGTCCCGGCCGAAATTAGAGGCCGCTTGCCAAATTCAATAAATGTAAGATAAGCTTTCGCACACGGATCACAGCTGTGGCTAATACGGCTTTCACAGTGTCTATGACTGGAAATGCCGGGAATATGTCCAAGTACGTACCATAATCTCCATGGAGGCTAATGATGGATTCAAATGGGGCAGATGTCATGACCCCTCCACGTCCAGAATAGACCTCATTCAAGGGGAGATATTGACCTTCATTGTCGATTGCTTATCCATAATGACGCCACGGAGAGCAAGGTCCTGCGCCCCGATGTGGCCTTTCTTTGAAAGTTATTTCGAGCCAGAAATCTAAGACTTATTCTGGATATGTCCACATATAATCAGATGACTACTACCTTTTGGGACCTATAATTGGTCAGTTTGATGACAGCATGCGATAATGACAGGCATTACAAGGAGACAGGGTCAACATCACGGTTTTTGCAGCGCTCTGTGCACTGTTGTAAGCCACATGGGCTACGGTTCGGTCCGTGCGCGAAAGCTTATCTTACATTTATTGAATTAGGCAAGCGGCCTCTAATTTCGGCCGGGACTGTACAAGATGTCTGCTTCCTTCTGTCTTCAATATGCTTCAGAATCAAATAAGGCCGTCAATATCAAGGTCAACTCTTGGCCGGCCAATTCGTTAATGGATTTTATAGGGATTTTATGGGCAATATTAAAGACATGATCATAATAATCAGCACTCTCATATTGTAGCTAATTCGCTTGAAAGTAGACTTTTTTCTTTCTTCTCGGTCCTTTCTCTCTTTAAAGTATTGAGTCATAAGGCTTGCTTATTTACCTTGCTTTGGAAAAGATAATAACTAGTTCAGATACGGGAAGGAAGTCTTGCAGAAGTCGTAAGTATAACCTCAACACCCGAGAAGAATGTAGACACACACTTGCAGCGCATATCAGTGAATTTTAAACTAAGTATACCATCAGAGCAAGCTCATCGATCCTGCAGATAACCAGCCTGGCCTATCGATCAAACTAAACCAAGTCAGTCTCCACAATACTCAGCGATATG